CATACCCCAGCTTGCTCTCCATGAGACACACAGACAGGGAGAGAAGCCTGGGGTCAGAGCGCAGGGTCAGACATTTATACAGCGCCCCTGGAGCAGCTGGGGTTAAGGGCCTTGCTCAGGGGCCCAACGGAGTAGGATTCCTCTGCCTGCTGCGCGATTTGAACCGGCAACCTTCCAGACGCAGGCGCAGATCCTGAGCCACAGAGCCACCGCTCCAGCGCTCCTTAGATGGAGGAGTAGAAGAGCGCTTGTCTGGTCAGTAAGAATACCCGTGACAAACGAGAGGAGGTCATTCGGGCAGTCTAGCCAGGTTCGTAGTGATAGCTAATTTGGAAGGTCTGGAAGGACGTCAGTGCATCAGCCTCAACACCATGGCTGGGTAGAGCGTTCCACACTCCCGCAACCCTTTGCGTAAAGAAATCCCTCCTATTCCTCGTTATAAATGTAGTTCCCTGCAGTTTTCAACGGGGTTCTCTGGTTCACGTTTCGCTGTTTACTCTGAAGAAGTCGGCTGGGTTGAATTTGTCAATACCTTTGAGGGTGTTGAATTTTTGTATCGGGTCTCCTTGTAATCTCCTTAAAGTTACTTATTAAATTGCTTTCCAAAGTGGCCTTATAGATCTGCAAGGATGGGACCATTAACAGAAGGCAGCGGATATGAAATAATAAATACATTTTTTATTATTATAAGAAATAGATTTTCTAAGGTTCAGACAGTTTTAAAGCAGGCTATACAGAAAATAGATGAATTCTGACACTTTGCGGTTTCTGCTGCAAATAAGATACATCACTGATGACATCTTATAACCTTTTTAAGTGAAACTGGCTCCATGAAGTAGCTCAGTAGGGTGATCACACAAGATCTGCCAATGACACAAACATTAATAAAATTGTTTAAAAGTAAAAGCAAAGGCAAAACGGTTACCATTACTTTAAATCAAAGGCCTTTTGCTGTGTGAGTGCAGAGCTGATTGCTGAGTCAGGTGCATTTGTGCACAGTCAATGAGATCTGGTCTAATCTTATAGCCTTATCCAAGGGTCCCAGTTGAAGAACCCTTAGCTTGTTGATTTAACAGTGAAGTGCAACACAGCTACACAGCTGATTTTAAAAACAACAACAGGTTGTTTTTTTAATTAAATCTCTGTGCTTTTTTACAATAGCAGTAAAACTGTACCCTAGTACCAAGTATCTGTGCATACAGGTTTCTCATACAGGTGTGTTTAGAGTTCTGTTCACACATTCACTGTAATAGTCACCCTTCTGTTGATTCCATCTGTTAAAAAATATAACCTGCATATAAGTCGATCCCCGACCTTTGGAGAACTAGTTTTACCAGGTCTCTTTGAATCGCCTGCACCTGAAGCTTCAAACTGACCCAAGCTGTCAAACTGACTCAATTAAGCCAGTATCCAGCGGCTGTTAGCTCATTAAGAGCAGATATGGAACACAATCGCAGAAACACACTGGCCCTCCAGGACCAGGACTGGACATCCCTGCTGTTGCCTAACAAGCTTGCTCTCTGCTGTACTTGAAGGTCTGTGGCGGACTCTGGCGAGCTTGCCACTATAACAGGCATTCATGAAAACATCTGGATGAATATGTTAAATTAACTGCAGTGTCCTCCTGTCTGCAGGCTGTTTTCTGGACCCAGTCTTCCCAGCAGCAGTGTTGTTCTGAGGAACAGAATGGGTCCTGCCTCTCTGCAGATTTATTTACCCCTGCAATCTGCAGTCTGATATCGGAGGCGTCCAGATGGAACACGAACCATCTTCATGACAGCTCAGCAACAATTCTGCCATGCCTGAAATTACAGAGGTCATTCTGCAGACAGGAGGTCAAGCCCACTCCCACAGCTTAGTGAGAGATCGTTTGTTGCCTACTGCAAGCACAGACATGTTGCTGGACTCACAGCTGTCTGGGCAGCATGGATCTGTGACAAGTGTAGATGGTGTATGAGTTTGTGCACCCACAACCTGCCATGGAGATAAAAAGGAAACCTCTGGCGTTTACCAATCAGCTCTTAAAATTAGCTCTTACAGTCTTCTTTGTCCTCCAGCACATGGGTTTAGATGTTTTCGTTCAGATGGCACAGCACTGTCTATATCCTGCCTATTGAGGAAGGTCCCCTTCTTTGGGAAGGCCACAGTTCCATCCATTTTTCTTAACCATTCCCACACACTCTTTAAGTCTCGGGGAAAAGAATCAACCCTGCATGAAATTCTTATTTTAAAAAAAAGGCATTCCCCCTCTCCAAGTACAGTTCACCTGCTTTCTTCTCTGAGCAGTCTTACCTTCTGCATATGCACAAACGTTTCTGAATAAGCAGAGCAGAGAATGAGCATGTTGACGCTGAGTGTAGGCCCGTGAACTTGTGCACCCCAAGTTCACTCTCTACAAGAGGCCCTTCTTACCATGCTGCTGACCTCTCACCTCATACGTCAGGCCTCTTTGTCCCACAGTCCTTCAGCGATAAGCCCATTCAAGAGAACAAAACAAATTCCTACAACTGACCAAAGGAACTGTTTTGTGCAGAACTACCCTATAACCTTCAATTCAGTGCTGGAACAGTGAAAGTCCTCCTGCTGTACTGTAGATGTAATGCCATGTTGTTGACCAATGCATGAACCATTCTTTTGCTCTGAAATGAGAGTACTTTCTGTCATGTGGCAAACTTAAAATTAGCGCCTGATGAATAAAACCCACATCTGTCTTAAAGCTCAGGATAAGAAAAATACTAGAAGTACTGTTGCTTTTTGGCTTTTAAGTTGGGTACAATAAATAGCTTCCTAAAATAGTAGAGACTCATATGCTGACTATACAGACATATACTGTGTTATACTGCAGAAACACGTTTCAGTTGCTACTGCAGTACAAACTCACCCCTGTTCCTCCTTGGTAACAGAAACCACTGAAAAAAAACACTAGCTTTGTCCAAGTGTGCATTACCATTTATTAGAATCTGAAGTCTGGAAATCCCAAAACAAAGCCTGTGGCAAATGACAATTTTCTGTACAGCTGTATCTTTAAAATATGATTACAAATCATTTGTACTTCAGAAGAATGTTCGAAGCTCAGGGTCAAAGAGCAGCATTTAAAAAAAAACTAACAAAAACCTTCAGAAGCCTTGAAGTAAATCATCCAAGTGCAACCACTCCGTTTCTGCAGCTTTCACATGGTGACAGGCGTAGGTGGATGACTAACAATAGCCTGCACAAGGAATCCAGCTGCCTTCCACATCACATCTTTAACTTCATTGTGCATGACAGGCAACTGAGACACATTGGTTTAGGTGTCACACATTTGACGATGGTATTCCCCCAGAAAGAAGCATTACCTAAACTCTTGCCACTTTTTCCAAAATCAAGGTACGCTCATTGTTACGATTTTAAAACACTGTCTAGGCAACCCAATCTTTACTCACAATTTTCTAAAACATAGAATAGCACGGTTAGTTCCAGTCCTAAATACACACGTTAAAAATCTGACAGTAGGACTGTATGACTTGCACTCAGCCTGAGGTCCAGCAATCTCAGTGCAGGAGCTCGAAAGAGAAAGCTGTGTGGTGTCCACCAACACTGAAGAGCACCCCTGTCTCTTGGCTTTTAAAAAGATGGACCTTTCTTGTTCACTTTGGTTTAAGTAACACTACATAGTGCAGGAAATAAAGGACTACCTGACTAGCATAAAATATTTCAGGCAAAAACACCTCTTCTGAAATTAATAAAAAACAAAATTTAAAAATATCAAAGCGGACATACTGTAAAAATACAGTAAAATGATCATAAAGCTTTTTTGCTGCCGCCCACATCTGGTTTACCTTGCTAAACAGGCCTTTAAACCTTCAAAACATCAGTCTTGCCATCTGATCCTGCACCTTTTGTATATCTCTTTAAATTTAAATACATATATACATAAAGCCATGAACAAAACCATTTTAAAAGTCTATACTTTATTCTTTCATTACCTGCAAGAGAAATGTAAGTCTTAAAGACCTCCGTCCTGAAAACAAAAAAACAACTTAAAAAAAGAAAGAAATGTCAAATCAATCAGGTCTCTCTTCATCTTCACATCATTGGGTTTCGGGACCTGGAGTGGTAATCATGCCCATCGATGGTGCCCAGGAGCCCCTCACAGCGACTGCTGCCCGCTCTGCTGCTTCTCTCTCATCCACATCTGGATCCGCTCCTTCAGCTCGGGCACTGTAGTAAAGACCCAGGATCACACCTCAATAACCACCACCTAGGGTTACTCCTCACGCCCCGCGCCAGAATGACAAATCAAGCAGGTAAAGAGAAGCACGGAAACGTTGATAATGGAAAAATAAAAAAACGTCTTCTAAGATGGCTTCCAAAAGATAAAAACCCAGACTCTTTAATTGTTACTCAGTACAAGTGCGGAGAGCACTATTACCCGTACTGTGGCTCCTCCAGTAAAATATGAGAGATGAGTATGTTATGCACGTCACAAACAGTTATATTAACCCCTTATATTAACAGTTATAAACTGTTATGTCATATTAACAAGGCAGACTGCACATTCAGTTATGGGTGTTCACTGCTGTATTTCTGCAGGGCTTTCCAATAAGCCTCTGCCCAAGAGCCTCCTACTTCTCCTGCTGTTTCCACTGCAACTCTCTTTACCTTACGATGATTTCAAAGCTTCAATATCATTGACTCTGCTCTTACTGTAACATGCCAGTGGAAAGTATTACAGGCACTAAGTGCCTTACTGCGGTCTGAGATGCCCCTAAAAGAGGTGTGTGTTTGCCCTACCCGACTCCAGCATGTTCTCGGTCAGGGGCTGCCTGTTGAAGGGGTCAGTGGGAGAGTTGAGTAAATGCCGCAGGATGATGGTCCGGTCCATGATGTTGCCAGAGGGCAATCGCACTGGGTCAGTCATCAGTGTGTCCATTAGGGGATCTGTCCAGCACGAGAGCGAGGACAAAAACATTTATTGTTTTGTTTCTCTGTTCAGAAAACGCAACAAAAACAGACACAGTTGAAAGCTCCAGTGTGCTGGGTGATGGCCCCATTACAAACACTCCACTCCACTCCACTCTCGTGGTCAGTATTCAAGCCTGAATGCCCTGTTTGTAGAACGTTTCCAAACCATCTCATGAACAGCAGCCACAGTGCTTGAACACATGCAGAGACCAGCGTGGGAACAAAGCAGTTTCTTAACGTTAAATAAAATGAGGGTGCCACTTTGAGTGGGCTTTCAATTTCAGCGCTAATCACTGGCATGGGAGACATCCCTGGAGAACTGGGATGTAAACCATCTTACGCCAGCAGGTGGCACTCAACCTGAATTTCCAAAGCAATGCTCTAGTATGGGGACAGGGGACACTGCTGCAGGTGGTGCTATCCTTCAGATGAGATGTTAAATGCAGGTCCTGACTGCAGTCATTAAAGATCGCTTGTTATGCAAGATGTAGTAAACAATGTGTCCTAGCTAAATACCACTCTGGCCTTAATTAAATGGCCAGAGTTTAATTTCTCATTCTTCATCCCATCTGCTGTGCAGTGGAGACAAGCTCAGTGGCTGACCAAGCAGGTACCCCTCTAAATATAAAAGCACTTTAAAATCCTTTGGAGCATTGTACAAATGCAGTTAATTATGATTAATGAAAACACTTGCCTTTAAATTCATCAGGCGCATCGCTGTAGTCAATTTCTGATTGCGAATTCCTGGCAACTATCTCTTCAACCTTTTCGGAGAGCAGCTTAAATTTCTCTATAGCGATGGTGGACTTGATGCCAGCTTTTTTCATCTTGGAAATAACTTCTTCAAAGAGTTCTCTGCTGTAGGACCGCTTCAAACCAAGAAGAAGAGAAAAGGATTTCATCTTCATATTCATATCAACAGCGTATGACTAAACCAGGACAGAACCTTAGTCACCCTTGTTACAACTTCAGAGAAAGTTCCTGTCAATACAAGCAACTCAGGAAAAAGTCATTTTTTTGTCAGCAGGGAAACTCACTTTCCAAGAAGCAAAGTGTCTTTATTTTCTGCCATGAATAAAAGCTAGCTAGAAAGAGGGGAGTCAATTTGTTGGCTCCAAAAAAGAAACAACCAGCTGATGACAACAGATAAAAACTACCACTACAACAAGTGCATGACATAAGGATGACTAACCAGACCAACAAAGGAATAATGCACGAATGTTCCACTGCTACACATGTAAGGGATGCTCAGAGGGGAATTAGCATCACTAGGCAACAGTCTGTCTGCAGCTTGCGTGGTTCATTAAAGACTGGCAACCAGTCAAATTTCCATCTGTCTGCATAGCTTCTCACTTCCACTCCAGAACCAGTACAGAAAGCACAGAATCCACGCAGGCCTCAGGCTCTGTGCCACTGTTAATCATCTCATGGCAAATAAGGGCCAAAATCAGTTTGCACTGAGTGCACTGTTCAGACTTTAGCTGGAGCCATTCAAAAACTGCCATGTCAGCACGGCAACGTCACTGAAGGGTGTGAGAATCAGCTTACACTGCTGCCCTGTCCCAGTGTTGTTTTGGAAGCACGATCATATGATAACGAACGCCAACTAGAAAATCAGACGTGCTCCTTTGTAACAGAGGGTTTCCACAGTTGCAGACAGACTCCTGCCTGGTGACTTGCAAGCTATACAGAAAGCGCTGGTCCCTGGCCAACAGCGAATGTGCACTTCAATTTATACACTTTATTTCAAATGACAAATTTGGAAATTCAGCATATTTGTGTATTATTAGGATTTCAATGTTCATTTGAATCTGGAAACCATCTGTACTGTCGGGAAACCCTGTGTATTTCTGAACAACAAAAGCGCCCCCTTGTTGCTATGCTGTTGTTTTTATAGCTGTCGTACAGCTAAGCAATAAACAACTGAATGTGTTCTAAATTAATGGGGTGAACAAGGTTTAGAAATATGAATATCAAACGAGAACATTGGTTGTTTTGCCCTCTGTATGCTAACAAGCCCTGGCTGTCCAGATGTCTCGTCAATTCATTCTACAACAGAAACCACCCCAAGATCAAAACCCAGACCAACATGTGCAAAAAGTTAACATTGCCTCTTTACTGCGGAATTTTCCACAGCTGTGTTGTGATTTGTTTTTTCTCTGCAGACTTAATGGCACTACATTCCTACGCACTGTCACCCACCTGATCATCAGCTATAGCCTTGGCAAAGCGCGCGCAGTCCAGCTGCAGATATATGTCGGTCAGCTGATCCAGCAGCTTCTTGGGTTCAAAACCATATTTCTCCGGATTCTCCACTTTAAGGTCACGGCACTTAGGCCCACACAGCTGCTGAAGGTTGAAGTTCAGCATGGCAGCTAAGCGTGGTCCAAGTTCCTGCAGAAACAAAAGAGTATGCCGTTAACTACTAATTACTAATTCTGCGGAGCCATGGGAAGCAGTTCTGAACTCAAAACTAGAAGGCTGTGGGGGTTCAAGTCCCAGATGAGACACTGCTGTTATACGTGGGGGTTCAAGTCCCAGATGAGACACTGCTGTTATACCCTTGAGCAAGAGGTCTCATCTGAACTGCTGCAGTAAAACATCCAGCTGTATAAATTGGTACAAATGTCTCTTTCAATAAAAGCGACAGCCAAACAGTTAATTAGTCGGAGGCAATTGAACACCTCATCAGTGCATGACCCCGTGATACTCCCAGGTCAACATATGCAGAGACTTAGTGTCTACCCATTGTCCTGCCTACAAAGTGAACAGATGGCTTCTGTGATGTCTCTGAAAAGAAGAGAAGAGGTCTGGGCTGACCAGAGAGGAACACCGATATTAACAGCCCATCTCTCACTTCTGGCTGTGCGGAGCTCCAGTGGTCCTGAAACCACATATATGGACATCCATATAAAAATATATATATCTATAAAAATGACTGCAAGTGCAATTTTTTTTGGCAGGTAGCTGTATCCTCTTTGCCATCCCCACGGGCTGTCTGATGTGGTGAGCCTGGAAAAGGTCGAGGGGGTCTTATACTTACAGGCCGCAGGAACGGCTTCTGGACCTGCTTGGTGAGGATGTGGAACATGTCCACCGTTTCCGTGGCCAGAGCAAGGTAGGAGCGGGACATTCGCTCATCCTGCGTCAGCTGGGACTGCCGGCTCTGCTGCTGCTCCTGCTCACCAGCAAGAAAGAGCACATCCCGCATCAGTGTATACCACTGCTACTTCGAAAGATTTAGATTTTCTTTTTAAAAAAGCCCAATGCTTTTAAATTTTGAATAGCAAATGATTTAACTGCGGCTTCGGCAGCCACTGAGCGTGTCTCCACTGCACAGAAGATCACAGCCTCCTGGGCGACTGTCAACCTAGGTATTGTCTGGACTGGCTGCCTACACAACCCAGTCTCGAACCCGCGACCTCTCGACCATGTAAATCAGCCTGCACTCCAAGTAAGAGCCTTTGCTGGTTGAGCCACTCTGGAGTCCACCAGGCATGTTTTAGGCAAATGTGACCTTCCAAAGACATTCTGCTACAGGCTCCCACCCCAACTGGCCGGATCTAAAGGCTGGGAAAGCAGGGAAACCAGGAAGGGGCCCAGTCATGTGAGAGCCGACCCGACTGACCCGCGGCAGCTGGTCCCACTGCTCCTTGTTCTTCATCTCCTCCTGGACCTCATGGATGCGTTTCAGAGACTCCAGGCTCTCATCCAGCAGGAAGGTGGTATCGTTGATCAGCATGTTGATGTAGCGAACAAACTGCTTCCCTGAGCTGTGGGGAGAACGCAGGGTGACACCATCTCACCCCCACAGCTTCCACTAACACAAGGGACACTAACAGAAACGAGCTGGCGTGACAGTGTCCGTGGTGGCGCTATTTACTGTGGTGGCGCTATTTACTGAGATCCAACACCAAACAAAAAACAAACTAGGAATACTCAACAAAAAAATAAAAGCTAGACATGGTTAAAACCAGCTCTTCTTGCAATACCATTTGGTGGAAACTCTGGTCTGCATGCTTCCTTTGGTCAAACCATTAACTCTATAATAAATTTAACTCGCTGAACAAACTGGGGCCCACTGTTCACTGAAGCCGATGTCGAAGACTCACTTGAACTCCTCCAGGAAAGTGCCATGGTGAGCAATGTTCTGCCACAGGCTCTTGAAGATGGTGCTGATGTGGTAGCGGATGGTGAACTTGTCGTAGAACTCGCTGGTGGCTCCTGTGTGTTCCACATCTATGGGAGACAACTCATGGTCAGCTTTCCCGCCAGCAGATTTCAGGACATTGAAGGACACAGCAAAGTTCCTTATACCTTCCCAGCTGCCACCTTTCTAATCTAATAATCTAATGCTAACTTCTCAAAGCCTTCTCTTTTTACACAGTTGTCAAAGCATGTCTGAGGCCAGTTAAGGCTAAACCCATACTGAGCTTTTGAACTTTTGTTAATTCTGTAAACTCATTTGTAGTCAAGTAGGTTCTTTATATCTACAAGAGTAGTAACTATTCACATGAGCATTTCAATTTCAGCAGTGGATGTGCTGCGTCACAGCACCACTAAATTAGTACGAAAGTTATAAAGTTAATCTCGTCAGAATGACAACAAAAGTCAGGAAATTAGGAATTAAAGAATGACGCATGTCGCCAGAACAATATGACCACTACAAATGTTATTACTGCAATCACAAGAGTGCACTTTAGGGTTTGAATATGTTTACTGGCAGAGGGGGGAAAAATAATTTCCTGGAAAGTCATTCATGACAGATAGAACATTGTTTTGCTTTTAGAATCCAATATTTATGTGTGTATGTTGAACAGCTTGGAAGAATTCATTAAAAAGAGTAGAAGATTACAAGAATGGAGGAGAGAAGAACGGTGGCAGGCAAGGCCTTTGTTGCCGGCTGCGCCAGACCCTACAGGGTTGCTATGAACGAAGGGTAGTTTGAGATCTGCAAGTCTCTGCAGTCCATACTGGAGGACCAGCAGCACAGATCGGCCCTTCCCCCCAGCCTGGGGAACTCGCGCTGCTCGTGTCACGTCATGTCACCTGTATAAAACTTCATGAGCGCGGGGACGAGCTGCTTGATCGAGAGGGGGTGGTTCTCCATCATTTCCGAGAAGCGCTGTGTGCGCGGCTGGATGGCGGGATTGGTCACGAACAGGACCTCCACCAGCTTGGCGATCAGGTAGGGGTTGCGGATGTAATTCTGGCTGCAGATGAACACGATGAGGAAGGTCACGATGTCCTGAGTGCAGGGTTCGTAGAGAACCTGGGGGCAATACCTGCAAGGGAAGGGGATCTTCAGCCAGGAGCAGAGAAGCCAACACTCTCGTATTTCAGGACTGCAAGGGCTCAGGGCAGAAGCTGGCTAAAGGTCAAGATAAAAAGTATGAATTGGCTATCTTTCCCTGACCTGTGAAGAAGCGAGCGTTCCCTTTCCAATTCACACCATAAAACATCCTCTCTGTCCTACTGGTGCAAGAAGAGCGAGGAGCGAAAAAGTTCAGGTTTCATTCTCTACTGGAAAACCATTGGATCAAAAATGTTGGTACATAAAAAACTAATTAAGCTGCACCGATTCCAATATCTGACATACTGAAATCATACCGAAGTCTGAAAAAAAAGATACTGAGATCTAAAAATAATTTTTAGTGCTTCCAAGAAATGGTTGCAATGACTCATTGATTAAACAAGCAAATGGTGATACCTGCCAGTGAAACAAACTTAAAAATTAAAAATGGCTAAAATACAGCTAAACTCCTGATACCAATAAGAGTAAAAAAAAAACACCCAGACATGATGATCACTAAAAGCACCTCAAGCATCAATCCAAAGACGATTCCATCACTTTGTAACAAGTGCACTTACTGCACAACAAAGAGCAGAAACTCCGCCACGTCTTCGATGTAGAACTCAGGCAGCGCAGCAAACACTTTGGGGATCTCCGGGTTCAGTGGTAGGGTTACGCTAGAGAAACAGGAAACCAAACCCTTCAGCCCCATCAGACCCTTTCCAATCAGCACAGTTCCAAACTACTCCACATCTCATTTCCCCTCGAAGCAGCTCAGGAAGACCACAACGTTCCAGCAGAAACAAGAGGAAACGTTTGAAATACAATTTTGTTTCCTCCTCCATTCTACTTAGCATAGGCTCTCACCGGCTCAGGCCTAACTTTAACACTCAATTCATTCGAAACCACACGATAGTGCAAGAACATGTATGTTATCTTGTATCATGCGAAACGAAAGGCAAGAATAGCTTAAGGCAGAAAAGTCTCTCTCTGTAACTGCGGAAGTCGTCTGCCCCGTCGGGTTTAGACTCACCTGGGGTAGGCGGGGTCGACGATGCGCAGCAGCAGCTGGATGACCATGCCATAGAACTGCAGGCACCTCCGCAGCAGGTTCTCATCCAGCAGCCCGGCATCAGCACAAGCCTTACAGCGCACCAGTTTCTACAGACAGCAGGACAGGACACGCTCTGAGCCACCGCCACACGGACAACACGAGACAGACTCGGGAAGGATCTGGGATATCACGCCTGCTCTCACCTCATCGAGAATTTTAGATACCTTGTGTGTTTTCTAAAATAAAAAAAAGCGCACATGGCTCTACATGATGGCTAAAGGAGACACCTGCAGGGCCCAGCTGGAACTGCAGGCCACAGCACTTCAGCAGGCATCCTTCTCCAAGCCTAATATCAGAGCTCTCTAGTGTCCTACAGCAAAGATTTATTATTCAGTTCAGGGTATTCAGGGTGCTAGTTTTTTTTTTGAAGTGCAATTCTTTCCCAGCAATAAAGCCCAGCTGGTAAACAGACAGCTCTAATTTAAACTGCACTACAATCTTAGCAATCGTTTTATGTTCACATCCAAAGACCCGTCTAAACGAAAAGGAATGTAAAACACAGTAGTACAACTATGGCAGTGATTCACAGACGTCTGCTTAGAGTCATGATTGCTGCTTTTATACTTGCAGCCTGCACCATCTGCTCAGATTGAGCCGTTTGTTATAACCCACAATGGGTCAAACAAGCTCAGGATCTTAGCCACGCCCGCCACCCTGCGACACCAGGACAATACCCAGAGTCCTCTCTGTGACCTCTACTTTCCAGCAGGGGCTGTGCCTGCAGTGGACCAGAGGAGATGGCCTCAAAAGGATCAAGATGGTCCCATCTGATATACAATCCTGAAGGAGACGCTTTCAGACAAGTCCTCCTAGTCTTATTTGCACAAGGTGTTGTGATATCATCAAACAATCGTGCAAACCTCTGAGCTCACCTTTAGCTGGGTTTTGCACCTCTTTAGCATCTCCCGGTGTCTGGTGGCTAGCGGGGAATCCTTCCATTGGCTCTCGCTGTTCTTCAGCTCCTCCACCGTCCTGAGACCCAAGAAAAAACGCTCCAATGGTCAAACCCCTCAAATCCCATCATTTCAGCAGATTTCCCATGTAGGGACGGAACCTTTTTATGGATCATAAAGTTACGTTTTATAGTTTTACATCACATCTCCCAGTTATTTCCCTCTCATTGAGCCTTGGCAGCTGAGAGGAGGAGGACTCGGCAGGGCTGGGCCCATAACTGGAAGGTTGTGGGTTCAAAACCCAGGAGACATGAATCTCACTTCACTTGTTCCACTAAAATCCCCCACTGTACAATTGGATACAAATGCAAATTGCTTTGGCTATAAGTGACAGTCGGTGTTTACACTGTAACTGGGATTATCGGTGTGATTATGATTGTAATTGGAACTGTAATCACTGAAATATGGTTTGCTAACAGTGATGGCCTGGGACATGAAGACTGCTATTCACCTTATGTACAGCAGAGGGAGTGTCAGACATGTAAGACAGTAAAACTCCCACCATCTGAGCTGTAGGAGGAGAAAGGAAGACGGAGGAAACAGCCTCCCGTCCTTTAACTCAAATCGGTGTCATTTCAGGAGAACTGTAAGTGAGTCACTGATGATGCAGAAAACTGAGACAGCATTCAAGATGGTTATAGACCTTAATGTGCGTTTATGAATTTGTTCCCTCATATTCACTTCCTGTCCTCTGTTCTTTGTGTAAACAAAGAAAATCTATAGAAATAACCTCCTTTAATCTTTTTTTCTTTCCATTATTTATTTTTGAGATACCAAAAGCACAAAGCTTCTAAATATCCACACATCATAACTCACAGGCTGTTGAAAAGTAAAGCAAAGAAACATTAGCTTCAGTTTCAGCTGTGGAGCTTCCTCAGGTGTGAGGGAGAGAGGGGAAATAGCAAGTAATTAAGCTGAAGGAAAACAAAAGACAGTAGATAAGAAGAGACAGGTGAACAAGTGAGAAAGAGGGGTATATTTTTATTTCTTGTTTATCTATGCATGTAAAGGTATGCATCCATATATCTTTCACCAGCATCCTTTGAACCTGTTCCTTTGCAGACTACATACTCTGAGACAGCAATCTCCTCGAAGTTTAGGACTAGGGTGAAAAACAGAATAAGGTTTGGGCTGGAGATAAGACTTGCTTAAGGTTAAAGTAAGGATGGCAAAGAAATGGGCTGTACAACTAAATAGAAGTGTAATTTCTAACTTCCATACCTGTTCAGCTCTCTGATGGCCCGCAGTCTTCGGATGTAGCGCCGGCAACCAGGCAGAATGGACAAGTGATGGGCGTGCAGCGTCAGGAAAAAGCACTCTGTGGGGAACTTTGGCTCGGAAAACTTAGACGGATCCTTGTCTGATTAAAAAGAGAGAAAAAAGCTGCATCAAGACACAGACAGCCACAGTTTTTAAAGATGTTGTTTAAGAGCATGAGAGGATCTCTGTGCGGAATGCCACTTGAAAAACGTGTACTTGCTTGTATGGAAGATTCTTGGAGACACAATGAATCAATAAATAAATGATCATTCATCGAGATGACAGAGTTATGCCTTTCTGAAACTAAAAGACTATAAATGAACTGGAACGGATATTGCTTGGGTGTCCAACAATATACAAAACCGTGCTGGTAGGACGGATGCTGCTAGGTAGACATTTTCAACAAAAAGGCTAAAAAAGGGCACTAAGAGTGATAAGATACAAATAAAGCAAATCACCCCAGCACTTTGTCCCAAAAAAGTTGCTCACTTGAACGCTTTTGTCAGGGTGTTAAAATGCAGTCAGTAAATAAAGACTGATGGACAGGGACGGGTTTGGGAGGTCAGGCCTGTGCCCAGTGGCGGGAGAGGGCATGCTACGGCGTCCCACTCACAGAGCTCCTCCAGCCAGCTCTTCAGGTCCTCCATGGTGGCCTTGAGCCGCGTCTCGTCGGTGGTGACGTTCAGGCGACACCTGGGGTGAAAGATATAAAAGGGGTCGACCGTCGCCAGCTTGATCTTCATGCTCAGCTGCTGAAGCACCCACAGGAAGTTCAGCATGAAGCCGTCCGTGGACACCAGCCTGTCATCCGTCTTCGAGTCGAATGCGGGATAAATGGAAAAATAAGAAGAAACGGGAGGCGTGGTGTTATTTATAACCTGCTATCTCAAGGCCAAGCCTTTTCAATTTCACTCTCGAGCCCAGTAGATCTGATCCTGCAAACATCTTGATCTTAAAAGGGCCATGTTGACTACGTTAAGACACAAATGTCGGCTGTGAATCTTTTAAAGCGCTGTTGCAAAACCTGTCCCGAAGGTAAAAAACCTACAAGCAAGAAAGTCACATTCCAGGACCATTGATAGAATTTGCATTAATGTGACGGATGTGCAATTCAATCGAGTTGCCCTCGTGCAGACCTGCATCTGAGCCTTCTTAACATTGCGGTTGACCACAGCTGCCATGTAGTTCAGCGCTGCTTCCCTGGTCTCGCCGTTGAGCAAAATATTGTGCAGGATTTTGAACAGGTCGCCCTGTCAAAACAAAACCAAAAAAGTATAGATCAACAACATTTTAAATCTATAAACGTATAATGTTTTAGAAAATCTTCATAGTGGAGTCCTTCAATACTGATATCACATACTGCTTGAACTGATAATAGACCACGTGAGACATTACCCTTAGACATAACATTTAACAGAGCTTCCAGAAAGAAATCTCTCAAACCTAAGCAGCAATCACAATGGAAGCCCTGTTTTACAACACGTAAAATCCAGTACGTAATGGGTCTTCTTTCAAGAAAATGAGTAGAATACAAGCATACACTAGCAGAACATAACCACTCCCATATCCTTTCTTTCATGCAGTAGTTAAGGGCTTCTATTTACTTGCTCAGCATAAGAACATACAGTAAGAATGGTTACAGACAGGAGGAGGCTGCTGGGCTGACCCTCTGGAGGTTAGTAGCTTATTGTTGCGAGAATCTCATCTGTTTGCTTCCTGGAAAAATGTGCTTTGAAAATTTATGGGTAGCTTGTTCCACACTCACACAACTCTTTGTGTAAAGTCGCACCTCCTGTTCTAAACCTCCTGTTTTAAACAAACTTCCACATAAGGGCTCCACGTTTCCTTTCCTAGCCATCCTCCTGATAGGAGAAATTCAAAGCAAACAGTTTTCTTATGGGATTTGATGAGGTAAGCACCTACCCGTGCTGATTCCAGGTAATGTTGCAAAGACTGACTGACAACTCTGGTATTTTCAAGGGTGATGGCAGGTCCTGAGAAATACTTGTCTCCTATTTTAGGCTGGGAAGCAAACAACAAACGGAAGTAAGTACTGCGGTGCACGCAAAGTGACACATTTTACAACCGAGCAATAACAACCAATTCCACACCACAAAGACGGGTGTTAAATCCCTGAAGGGTGTTAAACTCACATCGTCTTCCGAAAAGACAGACAGGCTGAAGAAGGCTCCGATGTAGGACAGCCTCTGGATCTCTCTGCCTGTGCCCTGGCTCAGGGGGTCTGGACACCACAAGGGCAGGGAGGTGATCTGTGCAACAGGACCAAAAGGGCACAATCATAGCCTGCCAAAACGCTGCAGGTAGCCGCAAGCAAGGGAAACACATTTCCATCTATAGTTAAAGGTCCTTACCCTTACCTTCTCTTCCCAAAGTCCCTTAACAAAAGGCTATGTTTGAAAAAGATACTGTATACCCCAAGAACACATGACCTGCTGCAAAGGGATCACCAATACACACACCGGCTCAGATTCTGTCAGCTCAGGGATCATAAAACAGAGAATGTCAAATCACAAGCTCCTTCATTAACAATTAATGCCCTCGTAAACACTTACCAAGTTGCAGACTGGGTGAGTCTTCCCAAACTTAATTTCACACAGCTCAGCTAAAGCCTGTAATATAAGAGTTGGAGAAAACATAAATACGATTAATTAAATGTAAAGAGCACAGGAAAGGTGACAATAGAGAGGAAGTTGAAATAGATGGTGTGTCTCTTCAAACTGCTGTGAGTTAATTGATTTTAGGATCTAGCCTAGCCATGTCCCGAAAGAATCCAGAGTATCTGCTTCAACAGTATGGTTGGATAGCTTGTTCCAGACTACCACAACCCTTTGTGAAAAGGAGCACATTTCTCCTGTTCTCAGATTTAAATTAAGTTCTTTGTAGATTCCTTGTCCTTTGGGTAGTTGTCACTGCTCCGAAGAAATCCACTGGCTTGACTTTGTCAATGCCTTTGAGGATTCTGATTATTCGAATCGTGTGCTCTCAAGGTCTTCTCTGCCCATGAGTTATTTTCACCATGTCAGGGTAGGAAATTTCTTTAAACCCTTGCATGCTGGTCTTCGCTGTTTCCAGAGCAGTACAGGAGTTTGCCCACTGGGCAAAGCCATAAAACAACAGGCAAATTTAAAATGGGTGGGTATATATTGAAAAACACTGGTGATTCTAAATGTAAAACAGAACATCAGTCCACTTTAAGCATCAAATGTCCCGAAGACTGTGTTATGTGCAGTCTGTTGGCTGGAGTACTTGCAATGGTAAGGGAAAATTAAGAATATGAGGGAGTTTGAGATTGGGAACAAATGTCCGTGTTTATAAAGATGACACTTCCTGATATTCTATTCCTCAGCTCAGGGCAAAAGAGGGGGAAGCCTAAAAAAACAATTTTCTAATAATCAAAGGGGTAAAAAAACTGACACTAACCAGTTAGCCTAGAAAATAAAATGTGGTTTTCACCACTAGAACAACTACATGCCAGAAATGCTTTCGCTGTAGAAGGGAGTCATATGTACAGCAGAAGATGTTCTGTAGTGAAGTGGCAAGGGAAACAAAGAAGCTTTTGTGTACTCTGGGTTCCTTTAATATCTGGTCATGTTAATCTGGCGATTCTGGAACCCTTCAATGAGAAGACCAAGGAGAACACCAAAAAGATTGTGATTTTATTCTATGACTGCAGTAAATACGATAATGGGACACAGCCAGTTTCCACAGCTTCCCAAGGCCAGAGGAGAAGGAGAACCGGGTCAAGCAAGAACAGGGATTATGGCTCACATATGCAATATTTAGAACTACTTGTGCAGTGTAATCGTTCTGAGTAAGATGATATTTCACTTCAAAGAGGGTGACAGATAAATGTTAATTAGCATTACTGTTTAAACAAGAATGTGTGTACTACTTTGACAAGGAAACCCATGTTTTAAGTGCAAATTTAAGCATCGCTATGTTTTTCTAATCAATGGTTTTGTAGCAATGGGAAGTGACAAGGCACAGTGCTTGCCTCACCTTAAATATCCATGTTCTCCAACAATGACAGACCAGCAAGGCGAGTTTAACCACAAAGAGGAGAGGGTCACAGCAATAACCACCAACAGCAGAACTGGCAACAACACTTGCTTACCGTAAAAGTAAGACTTCTCTTACCATAAGGGGATACTTAAAATTGTCGCTGTCAAAGGAGCACTCCTTCGCTGCCAGAGCCAGGCCTTGGAGTATAGGTACGAAGATCTAGAGGAATGACCCAGAGGAGGTCTGGTTAGACAGGAAACCAATGCTGATCACACCGCAACACACCGAAATTGCACATCACACTGCGCAACACCTGAACCAGCAGCAAGCAGAGGAAGGCCGATAATCCAGAGCCAAGAAGAGGGAAACCAGTGCAATCAGAAAGTCTCGGAAGCCAAATGCACAACCACGATGCAGAGAGTAAGAATACTAGGCTTTAACTACCAATTTCTACACTTACAGGCCCAAATAACGGCAATATTGTCCTTTCAATAAAGCAACAAGCTACGCTGGGTGCTTATTATTTAGATGTATCTAAATTCTACCAATGTGACATTAGCAAGAATTTTGTTTTTTGAAAAATCGAGGTTTTACTTATGTTGGTTGCTGTATGCCATATTTCTGTGCTTTTAGGCTCGCCTTTTTCGCAGTCTGACACTGCAATAGCGTCATAGCATTAGGCAAAGCTGAGGTCCTGGGACAAAGACGGATCCTCAGCGCTCGTCGGAGATCTCCTACGCCTGCTCTGCCAGAGTCACGGCCCCTCTTTGGCAGCGGGACGCAGAGTGACCCCAGGGTCAGATTCCGCACGGAGATCTCCCTTATGCGCAGCTGCTGCTTCTCACTTGATTTTTTTTCCCCCCATTCCATCCAGTCAGACGATTCTGAAATATGTTCCCAATGGCAAAGGCAGTGATTCAGGGCATGATGACCAGACACATGGCACATAAGCTTTTTAAAGTGTTAACTACCTTTTTGTATATAAAAATGCATCTGCCAGACAAAATTACATGACACTGCAACTTCTTTTTCCATGAAAACCAAAGTAGTCTTTGGAAAGGTACATTTTATTAAATGCTGCCTTGTAGGAGCTGTCATTCGTACCAGAGGAGATAAAGTTTGGTTCGTTGCGAGTCCTTTCTAAAAATTAAAAATACATTTATTTTTGCATTGTATTGCAAGCATCCAAACACATCTGCATAACTTTAAGAACTGAAAAACGCTCTTAATATCGCATACTTAAAGCACAATATAGGCTGGCAAGACTTGTTTTAAAGGGATATTGAGCTTAGATTTTTTTCACATGAAACCAATAATGATTTTTCTGATTCTTCTATCGGAGGGAATGGACTTCCATCCCGAGGACTTTAACCACAGGTCAAGAAAGTAAGCAGGATTTTCCAAATACAAGAGGGCTGTAAAACCACCTGTTTTAGAAGGCTGCTACACCAACAGGTGCTAAGGAAAAGGCCGATTAACATTAGGAAGGGCTGTCATAGATTGAATTGATGCCACTGACTACTTGACTTTTCAGTCTAAAACTGTGTTTGTTATACTTCCTTCTTGATATAAAACATAGACAATAGCATTTTAAAACCTTTTCAGTCATGCTTTTTCATTCTCTGTGCCCTGAGCTGTGGCCACAGCTGTCCTACTTCTGATAGACGATACATAAGCCAGGCCATTCACATGCCCCATGCATGTCTTCCCAAGGAAGCTGCTTCCAAGTGAAGATAAACAAGGGAAAAGTCTTCTGATTCACCTGCATCATTACTAGAGCAGATGGCATGTCTGCTGTGGGTTTCGCATTCTAAATTTATTGCCCAAAATTAACTAGGCAAAATATGCATTTCTACGGATTTGTTTCTCGTTATCTGGGCTGTCAGAAGCATGTGTGGTGACGGCTTAGCTATCTCACAGATGCCCACTCTAATAGCTTTACAGCCGGGATATCAGAGTGCATCCAATTTCGGGAAATACTTTACACAGCAAAAGCAAACTAGAGTCACAAGCATCTAAACCCACACCAATTCCTGCATGTTTATTACGATTAGTTTGTCAGCAAAATGGAAAGATTTTACAAGGACGTCTGCATTCAGCTGAAACTCACAGAGCAACTGAGACAACACTTAACTCAAGATGAAGGAAAGACTGAAATTATTAATCATGAACGAAGCATTGTCTGCTAAACATATGCAGTTTATAAACCACAGCATTGCAGGTTTCAACACAGCTGTGGAAGGAAATTATACAATTCACTGTAAGGGGCAGTAAATTTCTCTGAAGTTCCAGATTAAGTTTTGAGGTTTTGTCCTCCAACTGTAACCTGAGAAATGGAAATCACCTCTTTTAATAACATCTTCCAAGTGCTTACCACAGAACAGGCACTTAGCATTCAGTCTAACCACAGAATTAGTCATGACCTGCAAGAAACACCAACCCTTCAGCACAGCGCTGACACTTGTTTAAGCACTGATGAATGAAGAAAGGCCTGTATGTACTGTTCCGCAGATATTTACATTCTGTTATCATTTCACACATCCTCACCTGTCTGAAAACATCATCTTCCTGGTGAGTCATTCTGACGAGCTCTTGTATGAAGCCATAAGGTAGGTTTCGGCACAGCATGTAGGGTACTAACAATGACTGCTGCAGCAAAGACCTTTTAAAAAAGGAAAATAAGCAGGACCGTTTGTTTTCCATTGGTAACAGAGCAGGTTGGCTTTACACATCAAATGCTCAAAACCCTTCCCACAGTCCTGTGCCTGCGGTGACATCACATACCTGTGAATACTGAAATGGCTTTAAGTTCAGAAAATAATTCATTTCCGCTGCCAAATCCCAGAGCTACCAAGTATCAATTACTTTTACATTTGCACTCCATCCATAAAACCACAGAAAAACATAAATCCTGTTTTGTGAATGGAAAAAAAAATAAATTACTAAGCAACTCTAATCTAAAAATAATTGCCCTCTTGCAAAGTGGATGGCTATTTCATTGACCATTTCTAATCTAACCTCATAAAACACATTAGCACTCCCACGGGGCCTAAAACACTTTTTTAAGTGGTGCAGAATGCTATTTCCAGAATTAGACATCTTTGTACCCGACCTCTTCTTTGGAAAGGTTACCATACCCATATGATTGTTTTCTAAATTGGAACTAAAACACGAGACCTTTCTGTCTCAGTCACTCAACGTGTACCGAAAGAATATATATTTAGCAATATAAGATATGGGAATACTTCAGATTCAGCAGGTTTTGGCTCAAGAATTGCTAAACCTTCTTCCTAGACAGCAACAATCCTGCCAGTATTAAAAGTGGCTGACCAATTAAACAAAGCTGAGTCAGCTCACTCAGGTTAACACAACAGATTACCAAGCGCCTGCCAAGAGTCATGGGGACCAGATCTCTTTCACCTGCTTCAATTGTCTGCTGGCAGGTGCTGCAGGATTACTCACCTTGGCTGTGTGAGACTGCCTTGTAACACCAAAGCAGCATGGGAAATACACTGGGATCTAATGTTGCTTAGCAGCTGGCTAACAGATGGCTGACTGCACATCTGAAAGGATAAGGGAAACAAAGACACAAGGCCATAAACATAACACAGTAGTTTCAAATGATCTGGTTATTCAACTCCAATATGAAACCGAAGTAACTCGTAAAAACGTTTTCAATTTCATCACAAGATGCATCTATTTTCACCTTCCGCGTGTTCACAATCCAATTCCGTTTTCTATGAAGATGCAAAAAAATCCTCCTACGGCACATTTGGAACAGCTGATGCATCTGTAGCATTTGGATGAATGAGGTTAATACATTTTCGGCATGAAAGACTTTCAGAATAAGCTGAAAGTTCTAGCCTAGAAAGAAAGGGCATTTTCATTATATCTGAAGCATGATCATATTGTCAGACATGTGCCTGCTGACAAAGTGCCTGCAAAGTCCTCAGGCTGGCATGAACTCCGGTACCTTCGGAGCCTTCCTCTCCTCCATGCCCACGCTGTCGAAGCGCTCCATGAGGTAATTCAGCATCTCTGTCTCTTTGCACGGCTCAATGGTGAAACGATCACTGGCAGAATCTGAAGCTCCGCCCCCACCAGACGCGCCAAGGCTAGTAAAAGAATCGCGTTCGTTAGCAGCAGGTAGAGGACATAAATTCAGCCTGTGCTGAACCCGGAACAGAACAGCCATGCAAATGTACTTCAATTCCTAGGAAACACAATTTGGTGGTGCAAACTTGAAATGTTCATCCTAAGCACCTCAAGGGACAGTTTCTGGATTTTTTGTTTGATCAGGACCAATTGTTCATCTTCATTTTTCTAACGCAACATCATGGCAACAGCCAGCTTTTAAGGGAGAGAAAAAAAATGAGAACACCTATCTCTGAAAAGCCAAGCGCCTTTATGTCTAGTTTATTTTGATTTCTAAAAAAACATCTTTGGAGCCTCCTGATTGGCTCCTCTGGCAAATGAGCGCAGGCTGAGGTCTGAGGCTGGGGTGGGATGGGTCAGCCAGGGCTCTCCTTGCGGCCTCCTATCAGTGAGGGCCATGCCCCTCCTCCAATTGCACAGACCCCCTGGTACGGGCTGCAGTGCCTACGATGTCTTAAAAGACAACCGGCCAGAAGTGGGCGGGTCTGAGGGGGTCTACCCGCACTTCCTCATTGCCCCCTGTGTGCGGCAGCTGGGACAGGAAACACACACAATCGGCTATTACAAATCCGGATAATAACTCAACACTGCTTTGAAGCTGCATTCTGATTGATTAGTCAGTGTTTCAGGTGTGCCATTATCTACAGTCCAGTCAAGGTTAGGAACTACATGGATACAAATTACTGCGCCTACAGTAACTTATCACTGGTCACAAAACTAAAGGCTTGGACTAAACAACAAAAAATAGCGACAACATTCCCGATAACTCATGCCCTCTTGTGCCTTATTGCTTTAATAACTGAGGTTTCTGCTCAAACTATTTTAGCAGAGGTACAATATTCCAAGGCAAGCTGTGAAGACCACGTGAAGGCTTTCCCCGATCATAAAGCCATCCTGACGCCTCCATTAGGATAGTCTGGTCCTTTATGTCCTGTTTCAGGACATTAGCGTTTCTGTTTAATAATAAATATGCATCTTATGGTTAAAATCTGGTAGATGGCTCCCAAGTTGCTACCTCAGCTCTGCATTTCTAAAATTGGTCCTATTTATTCCCCACCTAAACAGCACAGTGAAAACGTGGGCCTTACTACAAACGTCTTAAAAATATTAAGGTTATTCCAGGACAAAGAGTGTACAAAATTAAAAAAAAGAAATAAAGCACCTATGCTATTGTGTCTAAATAATTTGCCTTTTGTACCTTTTGACTTTGTTAAAAAAAAAACTGAACTGAATGTACTGTAGATGCATTACACGATTCCAGAGGGCTATTGAATACAGTTACCAGTTAATTTCACTGTGTTTGGAACCAGTACCTTTACTGTTTTATTGACCATACTAATTACGCATTAGAAGAACTAAGAGGCTGGATGTAGCAAAATTCTGCTGCATAGCATAGCGTGGAGAGGGCAAAAGTGAATAGCCCTTCTGTACAATATATAACCCATCACAGGAGTACTAATAATCCTTACACTAATGACACAACAAACATGAGCAGTGACTCAGGAAATTAAAATGTAAAAAAACAAATGGTGCACAGCATGATCCTCCTCCAAATCTGTGGTCTGACTGCTGTGCATATACTGACATTGCAAACTCTGTTTTTCACTTGAAAGACAAATAGGTTAGTCTAAGCAACCCGCATGCAGACAGGCAATTTGACAAGTCAGTACACTCACCACTGCACATCGAGAAACATCAGTCACCATCACACTTTCTCTAGAAAAACAGCACTAAATGAGCTTTTCAGATGTCACAGGTGAGCTTCCCCATCAAAAAGAGCTTTAATACGTTTTTGCAGGATTTGGTGCACTGTTAATAAGTAATTCCTGAGGTTAATTACACAAATCCTAGAGGCCTCGGGCTTAGCCGGAACTAATTAAGCCAGCAGCAATGGCAGAGGTGGTTTTTATTCAGCTGATCCAGGGCTGTACTGTAGAAGACAAACATTTTGCAGGGATTGCACTGACCTAAGACTGAAATGCATCCCTTTGTATTACAGAGAAATAAATGAGGAACAGAGGAGCGAAAGGCAGTCCCTAACAAAACACCTTGGTTTTCTGACTGGTTCAGTGCATACTGCTCTGCTGCACTGTCACTCACATGGCAGCAGGCCTGACTATTGATTGACAGGCACCCTCGGAACACGCCGGGTAGGAAGTCTTGCTCTATCAGCAGATATTGTCAGGTTATTAAACCCAGATGGGTTCAGTTCACAGTGTGCACCTATTCACCAGGGTGCTGCGGTATTGCAAAATGAACTAGTCTCCCAGGGGATTTACCCTGACTGGCTCAAATACACGGGCAGCCTTTCTGGCCTGTTCTGCAAAACTGCATACCTCACCAAGAAGGGGGGATGCGTTCCAGCAACCCTTGCACATGACTAACCTTAACATTGACGCGATTCATCCTCAACTTTGCCCCCAGGGGAACAGTAACTCTAACAGAGCTCCAAAATGTTTATGGTCTCGCTTTTCCGAGCCACGGCATGGGAACGCCACCTCATACACAGCAGCACATGGTGTTAGTGGCCACGGTGCACGCCCAAGCATGCCCACTACCACACACCGCCTGGCACAGATACCTGGACCCAAACTGCACCCTAGAAAAATCCTCCTCCTCCGTCTCTTCGTCGCTGCTGTCCTCAGAGACGTCGGAGAGGGCGAAGAAGAGGAGGGGGAAGGGGCTGTCGTAGAAACTGGGGAGGAGGCCGGGGAGGCAGGAAAACGGGGAAGAACGGAGGTGAATCGAAAAGGGTAAAGAAGGTGCAAATAAAAGCAAAAAAAAAAATCAAAAGAGAAACCAATATTTACTGTAAATAAATCATGAATGGAAGAGAAGGGGAAATATCTAATGTAAGTCATAAAGCCAGCATTCACCACGCAAGCTCTGGTAATCGCAAGTGTGCATGTAACAAAAAACTTACTGCCTTAAACTGCCCGGGACGGAGTTATTTCCAGGTCAACCATGGCTAACAAAACAGATCATTCTCTGCACTACCTGCTCCCACCAGAGACTCCACTTGGCAATGTCTCAATGCTGTCAAGTAGATGCACTCTCCCTTTTCTCATTGCAACTGACGAAGAAGAAAAGTATATATCTTTCATTCTGTATTCTGAACACCCATTCAGAAGGGAAATATCCATCTACGTTTACTAAAGAGACTCTGGACATACAACATGTTGACGGGCAGAATTCCTCCTAACAGGAAAAAAATACTGGAGAAAAGGAATGCATGCATGCAAACTGCAAGACCCCGAAACAGCTAGCATGTGGGAGAGGACTGGTTTTTCATGGTGACAGCACACACTTGTGTTAGTGTCAAAACTCCGCCGATACATGTTTCTACAAAAACACATGCACATGTCACAGCAATGCAAGGACATTTACTGTCAGTTATTAATGCAGATACCTGCAGCTCTAAATCTGAGGAGTTGCATGAGAAAAAAATGCCTATCATAACTTATGGAAGTTGGCCAATTTAGCACCCATACTGTCTACGTTTCAAATGATCCCTAGCGCATGACTGCAGTAGTTAATTAAGATGCATTTTAAAACACATAACTGAAAATAAGCCCTGCAATAGAAGTGCCTTAATATTTTAAATTGGATTTTTAGCTGTATCTCATTCAGAATACCATTTAAAATTTTACTGCCCTCAGTCAATTAACATTTTAGAATAAATATCACCAAAACCGAAGGCCTATTCCCATAGTCGGAGGTAAGAGGAAATCAGACAATTAGTATATTAGTCTTATAATCCTGTATGCTATCTGCTCATTTCGGTTTCATATATTATAAAATGGTGAAGCTGAAAATCTTTGTGTGGAAAGAATAATAAAATAATAAAAAACATCAGGCATTATTTCAGTGTCTTTTCCCAAAGAGTTATAGATTCTAAAATCACTCCATGAAAACATGAAAAGTATTTAGTTTCTCTGTGTTAAGGGTTAGGAAGCACAGTAATCTCTTTCAGGCGCAGAAATGTATAATTAAATGCATCCAAAATTACAGATTAATTAGATTTTACAAACACAACAAAAGCTAAAGAAGTGGAAATAACTACTTTATTTTAGGGAAAAAAAGGGATGATTTGAATCCTGATGTGTAGAAAAGAGCGCTGGGAGAAGCAGATGCTTTGCCTGTTTAGCTCATGCATAGTTAGTGCAGTGTTTTTCTTTTAACTGGCTCACATGGTACCTTGCCGTTAGTTTGTCAGTTCAGACGACAGCACTGGCTTTGAATCAATCGGTTAATTCATGAATGCTGTTATTTCACATCCGTTCACGCAGGTCAGCAGGAAATACCTAGAGGGAATCCTGGGAACGCGGGCGGCACGTCCGGGCACGGCGCCGGGAGAGCTGGGCACCAGGGGAAGAGGCATGGAGGAGGGACGGAGAGGCCGAGGGGAGGACGCTGGGGCGGGCTGGGGGCTGGGGGGGGCAGGGAGCCCCACAGCGCTGGACCTGGGGCTGGGCGAGGTGGAGGAGGAGGAGGAGGTGGTGGGGGGGGGAGCCCAGGGGGCAGAGAGGGAGTAGGGGCGCCACCTTGGAGAAATGGGTAGGGGTGCTGATGGGGTCCCAGGGGAGAAGCGGGAGGGAGAGGGGCTGGGGGGCGCCAGCGGGGGGGCTGGAGAGGGGGGCAGGGAGGCCAGCGGAGGTGGAGCCGTCATCCTAGCAGGGCTCAAGGCCTGCGGGCTCGGACTAGAGCCATACAGACTGGAGACAACAGGGCAAAAAGGGTTGGATTTCAAAACTAAAGGCAAGAAACAACATATGTCCTTCTAGTAGTAACTTCAACGATGTAGCTTTACTTCTTGATAAATACTGTGAATGGTTCATTCTACTTCTGTTCCCTAATGTCTTCAGGATGGACAAATGGACCTTAACAAGCAGTATTTCTAGCTGTCTACACTAGGATACTGTCAGGAAGCATATGGCAATTAAGCTGTTCACATTTATTACTTTCATAAAGATGTGTTCATGAACATGGGTAATCTGTGCAGGCAAGTGGCTGTCTGCAAGTGTGGAAGTGCCTCTCTGGGTGTGTGAATCTTTCATGGCAGGAGTGCCTGTGAATTACCGTGTGCATACCAGGAAATGCTGAACGGTCGGGACTTGCCTGGATAACGAGCTGGCGCCAAACGAGCCTGCGGAGGCGAACATAGGGCTGCTGCCCTGACTGGAGGAAGGGTTCAGCACCAGGTAGCGGTCTGGGGATTTGGCGGTTGCGATTGGCTGGGACGTGGCAGTCAGGCTGGCGAAGGGGTTGTCGTCCCTCCCCTGGGTCGATATCATGAGTACCTCCATCAGGATCTGGCTGATCAAGTCCTTGAAGCCGGAGCAGACTGGAAAACAGCACCCTGACTTTAGCTTTGCAGGGCATGCACAAATCCTAGATCCTACTTTCCTGCCTAGAGTGCAAAATGCAGAATCAACAAGAGATATTTTCATAACGGGTTGCTCCTAGATCATGAGCTAATTTAGACTCGGCAGGTGGTTCAAGGAGTCTGGGTGAACAGCAAGGTTCAAGGGCACAACTGTAAGCAAGTAGACATCTGATGTCTCTCTGTTCCAGTCAGGTTCCGTTAACTACACAATTAGAGACATAAAATAACAAAAACACTGACGGGCAAACGCATGCTTTGTTAATAAAACATTTTCTATTCAACTATTTTACATTTCTTTCAATTTGTTATTGCGTTGTGACAATCATTTTAGAGACAGAGACGCTCAAGCCCGGAGTACCGTCTTTCGGGTTTTGTCTGAACTCGGCAGCAAGCGAAGGGAGGAAAACGACGTCCCGATCTCGCTCTTTCCAGGACACCCGGAAAATCTTGCAGATCAGCTGAAGCGCCTGTTCCTCCGACACTTCCGACCCCGAGGAAGACTCCTGAAGAGCAAACACAGGGCCGCAATCAGGGCGGTGGGGGTTGCTGCCCACTGCTGCCCATGAGGGTCATATACCTCATGGATGCAGTATTATCCAGATTATTTACTATTATGAAAACCAGCACAATTTTCTAAATGGTGCACCTAAGCAACAGTTTTTATGAGAGACTCTCCTTGACATCCATACGACTTCCATTCTTTTTTCCCATAATGCGCTGGTATTACAGAAAGCCTGTACCATAATGCCTCTGCTTTCACTGACCAGTCCTGCAGACCCATTTTTAAACTCAGTATTTCAATGAATCACGCAGCCCATCAAGGTTCTTTTATTATAGCACTGTCGTCATGGAGATGCAAGAATCAATGCTTTTTAGTAAGTTGTCACTCCAAGGTTTACTATCTGGAAGATTTCAGCCTTTCTGAAACAAACACTGTTCCAAACGCGTTTAACTCCCATTTCAACCTAATAGTCCTGCACATTTCTTTTTATTTTAACTGTGTGTGCGCAAACGTTTAGTCCTTTAAAGTGTTTATTTTCCAAGCTTCAGTGCAATCCTGGCTTCTGTTAATTGGAAAGAGAGAAAGAGATGGGCAAGTTTTCAAATTAAAAGGACAGGCAGAAAGCACTGCGCAGCTTTGTACAAATCTGTATGCAGTGTAATATACACAGATCACACGAGAGAGTGGAAGTGTTAATCCCCAAGTCACTGTCCCAAGTAACGTTTAAATAATTCAAGTTTTTAAAAATGCTCAAATCAGACAACGCTGGTGGAAGTTTTGTTTACCATAAATTGAATCACTTCATATAACTCAGTAAACCTCACTTTAACCACACTACAGTGAGATGAAACTGAACAAGTCAGTTCTAGTCCCATTCTGACATGTCAACCTGTCATGAAAACTAAGGAGACAGGCAGAGCCAGGGCACTTACTGCACGTGAGTAACAATACATTTAGTAATCACTACAAAAAACTGTGTTTTTCCCTTTTGTTCTCTTTAGAATATAATGAAGAACTAACGCTCTTTGAAATTTAGCACATTTACGTTACTTCGCATCATTCAATACACTAACTATAAACATTTATAACCTCTTGTTCTGCAGCCCTAAATCAATGCTTTACCCTTCAAAGAGCATATAATAAAACATAGAATAAAGAAACTGATGCTAACAATAACTATTCCACTTCCTCAATGTTATTAATGCTCTGTATTTCTGTGTTGGTTTGCTCGATCACATTTTCTGGAGATGAGGTTTTAATGTTTAAGGAATACAAAAAAAAAGTCTAAAGCCTGGAAAGACAGCATCCCATTTACAAGTAGGACTGAGGAAATATGGGACAGGCTGTCCTGCCATGGATAAAATTCTCAGATCAATTAAACACTAACGATCCAAAACATCAGATGGGTTAAGTAGTCTCCACTGATTTGTACATTTTATTCGTTCTTTCCAATTCACCCCTTACCAAGGCATAAGGCCTTCCAAAGTGACGTCCCTCTCAGGACACTGTGTATAGCGTTTAACTCCCAGGCCCAAAACCTTCCCTCCCTCTTCGCTGCAAGAGAGGTGGCGTTTCTACAAGAAGGCACTAAAACCCTGTGCACCACATGGGGAGAGTCTCGCCCTTCAGGAAACCATCACTCGCGATTCGGGCAGCTTGACAGGCCCAATGCAATTTGACATTTCTTCATACCTAAAAACTCCACTGAGCTCCAGGACACATTAAATCAAAAGAGACATGAGAGCACTGCTAACAAGTCAAAGAGAGGTCCTGGGTGTTCATATTTCATGAAGTTTTGCACTGTCGCTTTTGGGTAGCCCTTAAGGGAGGCGTGAGGGTGCGTTTCCTCGCTTTCATCAGCACTCCTTACCTTGTCACCCAGGCCTCTCTTCTCTCTGCGATCACTCTCCTCCACCTCCATGTTTTCAATTCCTGAGTCAACATCCACCTGGGACATGCTGGGCACGACAGAGAGGAATATTAAACCAGCCAAATACTGGACCTGTTAGCAAGGGAACGGGCTGGCCCTGCAAAATAATTCTTCAATTATTGAAGCTTAGCAAATCAGGTCCTCTGGAGTCTTTGTGCAATGAGCTTTATGCTTTCCAATTGCAGTATAAGAAGCTACAATTAAAAGATTTAAAAAAGGTTTAAAAGATGCTCTCTGGAGAGTTAGTTCTATAGAAACAAGTGAAGTTTCTGTAAAATAATAAGTTCTTCATTACTTAAATCATTTCCCGAGTTAATCTGATTTTCTGAACTGTCCTTATGGCAGCTGCAAGGCTACAGGGGCTGGGGGGGCACTTGGCTATAACAATGCATAAGCAGAGGATTCAAAATTACACAAAGTATGATCAAGTACATTAGAGCATGAAATGCCCGGCACTTTCATATTCAAAATTTTAAAATAACACAAAATAAACTTAAAACACTATACTCTATTGTCTATTCACGAGCTAATGGATGATTTTGCCGAGCTAGCAAGTCTTTCCCTAAGACCAATTCAGTACTGAAGGTATTCAGTTTTTTGCATTATAAGGAGCTGAGTAACAGCTCTGCATGTAGTACAATATGTGCTCTTTCAGAGGAATTCTTCAAAACTGGCTGCAAGGAACGGCAGACCGCGAAAGGCCAGAGCACAGCGCCTCACCTCTTCTCACAGGAGACGCTGTCGATGTCCATGCTCTGCGACCGGGAGAGGCTCTGGGACTGAGTTTCAAGGCTGTTAGATGGGGAGCTGCTGAGAGAGCTCACCCCTTCACTGCTCTGGCTCCGATAAGGCACCCCTGGGCAACAGAAAGCAAAGAACAGGACTGGAGTCCAGTGAAGACGTTTATTGAACAATTTACTGATAAACGTTTAATGAATCTTACATCTGTTTCTCAACTACCACTTGCCTGGGTGCTCAATAAACCTAGAAAAAGTCACACGTGGAACAGTAGTTTAACAACGCATGTTGCAAGAAGATTCGTTCAGGTGCCTGGTGACAATATTGATCTTTTCACCTTTGTACTGTTTATACTGACAATGTTGCATAAACCCTTCACATAGGCTAGCCCTGAATAGAGCAGTTTACAATGCCGCAAAGAAATTATTTTGATTTACTGTTTAGTCCAAAATACTACATGGCACCAGATCAAAAAAATAACACGTGTAAGGAGAAACAAAGTCAGTAGCATTGCACCAGGATTTTGAACATGGCTAAGATCTGATCGCTTATTTTATTTAAACAATGGTTTTCTTCCTTCCCAGAATTTGCCAAGTTCTAGACTGTCCCTGCTAGTGATGGAAAGGAGACAATGGTGTAGCTCTACCTGAAATAGAACAGTGTGCATTTGCTTTTTGTTTCAGAAAAGCAAACCAATTCAAAATCGGTCATAAATGTTATGTACTCATCTATTTTTCCACAGTCAAGAAACGGGGGTCTACATGAGTCCTGATTGTTGATGTTTAACAAAAACACTAAAACTATTTAGACGTCCTCTGCAAGATGGGTTTTCACAGAAAGCTACAACAGATTGAGCCACTTCACATGGAATTAAAAACCATATGCAGGCTCTTGTCTGGCTTAGTCAGTGGAAATGAGAGCTCCAGTAGTTCACCAGTTCACCATCACACATAATTCAAATTTAAACGTTAAAACATATAAATATAACATTAATATTAATTATTTAAATTCTGTCCCTTGAAACAAACAGCCCTTGTCCTTATCAATCTTAATGAGAAAAAATCCTCTACTAGATGAAAGATGAAATATCTTATGGTAAAAATAGTGGATTGATAAAGACCTAAATGTAAAAAATTAAGTTCTTTCAATGCAACCGCCTGTAAGGCAAGTTACTGGAGTTTACAATAAATTACCAATAAAATGTGGGGGGGAAGCAGAACAGCGTAATGTGCTTCACTGATCATTAGATCTTTCTAAAAAAAAAAACAATTTCCTTGCACAAAAACCAACACCATGCTAAACACTGCAGTGTTCTGATTGTGATCCACATGGAAACAGCACTGTCATTCTGAACACTTTACAAAAAGCCATCTGCAGTAGATATTCTGTGCTCCTGTCTTTCCCGTCAACCAGCAGGACTGCTGCCCTGATTGAGACGTGATGGCACACATCGGGCAAGATCAACAGCTCAGTGTCTCACATGGCTTGATCAAGGACAACGGCAGAGCAGAATCGATGTCACACGCAGCTAGGGCGTGCAATGACTTCATCCCTGGTGTCCCGTGGAGCACATCTATGAATCATGAGTCTACGACTCCTGTACCCACACAGGGCGAATGATGAGGTGCAGGCAGGCTCCTCCCACCTGCTTGCCCACTGGCTGATTCATCTTTTGACACACTAACAGCCCCAGCATTCCCAGCTGTGCAGAAATCAATTCTATTCCACAAATTTCTTCCATTCTGTTTTACCCCACAGCGCTCACGGCCACCTCAGTGGCTCAGATTGCTACACCAGCCTGCGCACTCTGGCTCAGTCTGCATTCAATTCCTGGCCTTCCAAGCAGTCAGGCTCATCCCCCCTCATCAAATATTCCTGAGGGAGGCTTGTACAGGAAGAGCTCCCTTCCCCATTTCTCTCTTTGATGGACGGCAACTCCCATTTCGCAGCCCTACAGGTTTAGAGCTATTAGGCCTTAGAGACCAATCTGCACCCACCGATCCACTGTTAGTCCAAACACATCTTGGACTTCTAGGAATCAAGGATTAATGGGTAGAGTGATGAGCTGATGGACAGACTGAGTGGCTGGCTCCATAAACAGTTGGCTAATGCCTTTATGCAGTTTGTCAGTCAAGTTGGGGACCTGAAACTACAAAGGAGTCAGATCCTGAACTCATGAAGGAGGCAAGGCTTTCCATTAGAACACATGAGCTAGTGTGAGTGCTGGGTATCAGAGCTTCTCATCCATCAGGCATTTGCAATTTAAACTTTGTTGAATATTAACCATAAAGCTAAGAAACAAATACACCACTCTTATTTGTTGAAGAGGAGGGTAAGCCATGGTTGTTTTCTGAGATACAGTAATTAAGAGGTACAGTATAAACCTGAGAATTTCCTTTGAACCCTGATGGATTTTCCTAGGTTACATCAATGCAGCTATATTCTTCAGTCCAGGCAAACAACCTGATTGCCATCTAGTGCACCTACAGTCCTGGACTGGATCCAAGTTAGAGATGAGGAAGGTACACAGCTGAAATCCCTTTTAGTGCAGAGGTTTGTGCTATGGAACCATGAAGCCTTGTTTAATCCAATTCATGAAACGAACACTACATTCTTACATAATGCCCGACCAATGCGTTTTTCAAGTTCTATACATGTCTCTCCTAATGCCTTTCAATGCTGTGTAGAAAACGGAAAGCTATAAATGTCCCCTGCTGGTATAGCTCTGTCTATAAAGGAATAATGCACACCTGCTTTAGAAAATCAAACCTGTTATTTGCAGATCTATGGGTTTCCACACTCGGGAAATGGAGAGCCTAACATGAGCAGTGATAACTGATTTCCAGCAGAGGTACAAAAAGAGAACAGCAAATAAAAACAATTATTGAAAAACAATTTATATACCCTCTGCAGGAATGGAATCTTAAGAGAAATGAAATTCTATTATAGCAATACCTTAACAATGCAAAAAATCTGATTCTGGATGGTGATAAGAACAGTTGTGTGCACAGATACCATTAACAAAAAAAAAACAGTTGATCAGCAGATACGGTAACATGCTGTGTGAATAAGCTAGATTTCATTTTTATTTTCTAGGGAGCTTTCCAGAGTGTAAACTTCTCAAAGAATGCTTCTGAATCATGCTGTAAGCCTCCAGCCTCTGCCACCTGTCTTATTTAAAGAGACTTGTGCATACTCATAATCTTCATTGTGTTTCTGTTCAAGGTAACACTAAGCCAATTGTGCCAAACTGATAGATGTCCCACTGCACTTGACTGAAAGTCTGAAAAGCTAGGAATTCTCTTTTGCCAGCCCTAGTGAAGTTTACAAAGAGTCACAAGATCTGACTAGACTTTCAGCCTTTTTATACTTAAATATGAAGATGTGATATGTTAAGCTATTATCAAATACCTTTCATATTTTATAATTGATCAATAAGTTATCAATTTGCCTTTTAAAAAACCCACTGAAATACTACAGCTATATTTCATGTTATTGCTCATTTCTCATTCACAGAGATGTGTGGTGCTAGAATTATTGCTGTAACAAAAAAATAACTTAAATTCTTTTATCTAGGTTCTGTTTCATGGGGCAAAACATACAAGCAGTATGCAATACTTCTAACCAGGCTCTGGCATGCTTTATGGGTAATGAAGTGTGTGTCTTACAAAACTTATAGAAAACCCCATAAATATATATATATATGATTTAGAAAATAATTAGGTTAATTATTTAATGACACAAGGTCCCGAGACCCCTGCTCTAGTGGAAGAAACGGATCTCGACAGGACAGATCTACAGATTTGGTATGGAAAGCCACGCTATGAACTTAGGGCTCCTTCCTTCAAGAAACTTACTAGTTCTACTAGTAAGCTTCTTTTGACTATTTACTAGGTAAGGCATTCTGCCTGTGTATGTAGGGGGATGCTGGATGCTTTTATGTTTTGTTTGGCTTTTGAAAATGTTGACAGCTCTAAAACCTGGGTCGCAAGGTTCGTCGTGGCTCGTGGCGAAAGGAGAAGGGAACGCGGGCGACAAACGGGCTGTCCCAGTACCTGCAGCCCCAACGGGCGACGTGGCCGGGGTGACGCTGTGGACGGCCAGCCCCAGGCTGTTCGACGGCGCAGGCGGTGGGGGCTGCAGCACGGCCCCCGAGGGACCTGGGGGGGCCCCCGGCGGGGTCTCTCTCTGAGGGGAGGTCAGGGGGGTGCTGAGGGGGGTGCTGGGCTGCGAGGTCTGCCCTCCTGCCAGCCGGGCGAGCCGTCTCCTCCGGATCTGCACCAAAACCGAGGAAACAAAAAGGCCGTTTTGTCAAGAGAGCAGGGCTTACGGCAAACATGCTTTTCAGTTTCCACAAGGTTTTTTAGGCTGTGCAAACAAATCAAACCTTACCACATCAGTTCTTACTGAACCGTACCATTTTTAGTCACCTCGGACGGAAGAAACTGCTAAAAGAATTGATTTGTTGAATTGTGGCCGGGGGGAAGTCAATCCCAAAGACAACCATCTACTTTATGATAAAATAAATGAATTCTGCCGTTGAGAAAAAAGGCTGTTGTAATAAAAATATAACTGGGACATTATATTCCATCAATTTATCACCCAAAGAAACTCTTGAGTTAAACAGGGAGGAGAAAAAATTCTCCCAGGCAATTTTTAGACTATCGGACAGCATGTCACAATGCTAAAACAAATCAATTCATCCCAGCCACCTGGGCACCACACTGCAATTTTCTTTTCCCCTGCGCCACTCACACACCAGACTCCAGCCACTGAACTGCTGCAGAATCCCAAAACAAATGACAAGAGACATCAAGTCAGCCTTTCTGCCCCCGGAGTCTGTTAACGACAGCAGGACTGAAATGAAAAAAATCCCTTCAAAAAAACAGAAGCAGCTGTGAAAAGGTAGAAAACTCAGCCTTTTTTACTCAAACACCAACTACGATTTTGATTAAAAGAAATCACGGAAAATGAAACACTCACCCATCAACCACCACAGCCCGCCTATATTGGGAAGAGCAGTGTCATAAAAAAATCACCCAAGGAAACCATAAAAACTGAGCGCATTTTTATCTCAGGTTAACTGAGGACATTGCTTGGAGCTACAAAAGCACTAATCTAAAAAATTCTGTATCTTTCCTTGAGTAGCTGTTAATTTTTAGATATCATCATACTCTCGCAGCTTATATCCTAAAAAGATGAACCACCCTAGCAACAATTCAGCAATTTCTGTAGTATGCCCAGATGTAAAATACAGCCTCTTGGCTCAGCAGTGCTGGGGGTCTCGTCTGTCAAAGTACTGTTTAAAGCCTGTAGCACTCAGTATGTGGCATGATCTGAATGACATCCCTCTTTAATTCGTGATTCATTTAATGACATTGTTTTAAGAATTCTCTACCTAAAATAACGGGCCCCATCTCCCACTGATAACACAAGTCACAGTCCAGCCCAAAACCTCCAAATTCAATGCCATGCCCATACAGTACAGCACTGCACCCGGCCAGCACAATCAGCAGAAGCTCCAGAAAAGGAAAAAGGAGATCCAGTTTAACGCAATTTTATGCAGCAGAGTAAACCGACACAAAGACATTCAATCAGTTTTAATTGTGCCAACAAAACAAAGCACAGGCAGAGCTAACAGCCACTGATCCAGCTTATTGTATCAACAGATTAGATGACAAATTCCCTTTCTGGAGGGACTTTGAACCTCTCGTACCGCAGAAGACAGCCAGGGGGTTGAGAGAAGCCAGACGGAATAGTCAACTATAAGAGAAAAGGGGGCGGAGGCTGGCTTTGTTGTACAACATCTTGGTCATTTTTTCATGAGAACAGCAGAGAATACCTGGCCTAGTGTTCACAGCACACTCGGAGAAGGAACAGGGGCTGCCAGCCATGAATGGAAGAAAGACAAAGGCAGAAAATCTAGAATCAGGACACTGAAAAGAGCAGGTTGACGATAAGGGAAAAACAAGAGACCATATAAAGCAGATATAAAAACATGTATATTTGCAAAGTCCTTCCTAATCCTCATAGGGACAAAACTGCAATTTACTAATAGCCTTATGAATAAGAAGTAGGCCTATATTTAATTAATCCCACACTAGATACAGGAGAATAAGAGAACAAAGAAGTGCAGCCTTGAGGGAAGACATCCCCAGCTTCTATAGTCCTTGATGGCCCCTGTGCCCTCAGCATGCTCTGGAGCCTAGAATTTGCTCAAATCTTTGCAAGACTTTGCCTGTTTAAGGAAAAGCAAGGCTTTAAAGAGAGAGATTAAATCAGGAAATGAAGAATTACAAATTTATCAGATGCATATTCAATTTCTTACCGTTGTAAAATCTCAATACATTACTAGGCCCCAAGCTAAATGCATTCACCATTTGCAACCCTATGGGATAAAAATGTACACTGACCCCCTCATAGCTGGGTCTCAGGGGGATGCTAAGCTTTTGTTTCAGGAAAGAACTGAGCCGAAAAGTGGCCAAGATGGTTTGGCTTTGCCAAGATTCCTTGCAAAATGCCAGAACATGCCCCTTGCCTGCGATAAACAATCCTATAGACTTGTAAAATTAGAGTGCTATGGAGTTTGAGGGACACAGAGGATATCGCTAGGACAACAAAAAAAAGTACTTTACAGCAACACCCTGCCTGACTCTGCCAACTGAAGGCATTACAGAAGAGCACAGTGTGGACAGTGATGACATCAGCGCAGCGTCCCCTTATTCACTGCAGAAGCTCAAGGCACTTTCGGCAGAAAAGCCCAAATCCCCAGTCTTCACACCCTTCACTTTACCATTCTTTCCAAAGAAATACAATTACATGTGCAGCCCAGCATATAACTTTTAACTAGCAAAACAGAATTCTAATGATGAACTACTGTTCAGGCTTCATTGCAAACAAGGGCCTGTTCGCTTTCCAGGGGACTCTTGCTGAAACAACTCTTCTTAAATTGGGGCCTTTGGTGAAAACAAAGCCCTCCAGTGAAGCCCAAGATCAAGATGCAAGACACTTGAGGACACTTGTCAACAACTGATCTATACTGTCACCGTGCAGAAGACAGAACAGTGGTGCCCTCAATGATCCACGGGCTGCAAAACTTCAGGTTTTCCAATGATTTCCATCCAGGAAGAATATCAGTCACGAAAATGTTTTTCTGTTGTCGTTCCCCTCTGAGTTTGTGAAACCGAAACCAATCATGTTTTACTCGCTACAGCTTATTAACTGTCCTATCAAAGCTATTTCAAAAACAAAAACAAAGCCACACAGTGCAGGCGGACAGTGGTGCCACTTCCTTGTCTTGTGCAATATGTCTGACTGCAAAAAGACAAGAGAGGAACAGAGGCCCTCATTGTAATTCACCTGGATCAGTGGAATTCACCAATTTCAGTTTCTGTCAATGCCGATGATTGCAAGAGGGCTAAATTAAGGAAACAGCTGGAATTGTTTCTAGACCTGAGAACCACAATGGCACGCAAATAAGACCACCACCTTCCCACCAATGTGTTTGCATTCTGATGGTTAACCACACTGCCAACCTCCAAGAGAAAACAAGAGCTGCTTCAGGATTTTGAATACGTCCACGGTGTGAAAGAGTCACGATGATATTGGTAACCTTTTTAGAGGACCAGCCAATCAAAAAATGAATGTTCTTGACTTGTCTAAACATTTAAGGACCAAGCACTTCTGTTCAAGCACTTTTTTTCCCCACTTATGACACAAACACAACCATCTAGTAGTGCAGGTTCAAGTCACCAGAACTAGTATTAGTATTATTACTTTGCAGAGCCTAAATTTTAATGTAAAGCAAGAGGCCTATTAAGGGAACTCGGATACAACAGCATCTAAGTCAAATAAATGACCTCAGGTTCATTATCAATGATCCGAGTTGATGGGGGATTAATGAGACTACAGAATCACTTTTAACATTAATCTAGTCTAAACACAAAATAAACTATTAAAAAAAAGTTGCTTCAAAACTGAACCTTGGAAAGGAATGCAGCCTAGCCAGACAGCAGCAAGAACTACACAAGGTTATTTATTTTTAAAAAATGGAATTTTGTGCATGTGTGAGTGAGATTAATTGGTGCAGTTCCTTGACACTGCAATTCCCCAGCCGAGTGCTGTTTGAAAGCCAGTTTACGATTTGAAACAGGTCTGTTTTTAGAAAAAATGCTCGAGGAGAACCGAGCTCTCGAAAGCAGTTTTTTCTGTCGTTGTTTCCCCCCCTCTGTCTGTCTCTCCACCCCCCCCCACCCCACGGCACGGCACAGCACAGCATGCAGCCCAGGCTGCAGAACAAAATCAGAAAAAGAACAAGAATCCAATCTTGATACTGAAAACTGACTGCCAGCAATTCTGCGTCTGAGAGCAAACACCAAGATCGTCCCAGAGAACGTACACTACCCAGGAAGGAGGCTGGCTTTTCGCTCATTAAAAATAAAAATAACAAGTCTGATCCTGTGGGTCTGTCTGACAATTACGGGGGAAAAAAAAACTGAAGGAACTGCAAATGTGACCAAGAGCTAAAAACGCCGCCAATGCCTTCTTTTCTCTCCAAGGCAAATGTACCGTCTTAAGCCTAATTATTAAAAACAAATGACAGACCGATAACATTTTAACAAAAACCACCTCGTTGGATTAATATAGAATTGCAATCCTAACAAAGGCAGCTGAAAATGGTCAAGAAAGGAGATCTGCTCCATCTTGCACAATAGGCTGTAGTGCTCAGGCCTGATGCGGGGCTCACCACCCCAGCTGGCCTGCTCATGCCAAAGGGATATTAGTAGACTGAGGCCAGGAAAGCTTTGCTGAGCCTCCTGATAGAAACGTGATGTACTCTAACTATGACTGGATCCACGGTTTCCCCTCTGACCAGACACGGCAGTAATAACAATAATGATTTGATAAAGCGCCTTTCACATATGCAGTCATATTAAAGGACTGGACAGTGTGAACATAAAAAACATAAGACACAAAGCAGGAAATACCGAAGGCCAATGAACACAAATAAGTTTTTCGGCGAGGTTTAAAAGCACTGATGGAGAAGATTCCTTGAGTTGCTAGGTGGAGTGTTCCACAGCCTTGAAGCACAAAGCAAGACAGAATGCTCCTCGGCGAGGGACGGGTATGGAGCAGTGGTCTGCAGTCCTGGAGGGCTCTGCGTCTGCTGGTTTCGTCCCAGCTCAGCTCTTGCTAACCAGTGCTAATTTGTGCCTGGAACGGATCTGCGTGCTGGTTTATTCTACTCTTTTGAAGTTAGCAGGCAGTAAACCTTTGAAAGCTTTAATTGTGAGGAACAGCACTCTGAATTCAACAGGGAGCCCCTACAGAGCTGCTGTAAAGGGTGTAATCTTGCTCAAATGGCTACAGTCAAGTTAAGGCTTGAGCAACTCAGTTCCACACATACGGCAGCTACTGATGACAATCTGATGGGCTCTACCGAGTGGGCCAGTCCAGGGGGGAGGTCTTCCCACGCCAAGCACTGCACTCAAACAGAAAAACTCCAGACCCGTGCGGATCTGCTCAGATGAAATCAGATCAAAACACAACTGCAAACGACCTGCCAATCGCAAATTCCAAACAGCTCACTTCGCAGAGCTGCTTTCTGAGCTTGTCAGGGCTCATGGAATTTTGATGTGATCAAAGAGCTGGCGTGTTGGGGGAAATGGCGATTTAATTCTGGGCCATTCCGACTGTGCAGACGGAGCAGTTCGGAAATCACCTGCTTGCCGGAGGAGAGGGTTTGCAACACACGGGTGAAAGAGTCGCAGATCTTTTGTACAGCGTGTGGGGAAGAGGCCACATTCTGAAGCTAATCGGGCTCTTCGCAGGACTCTCCTACCGTGTCACCAGCAGCGATCACTGTGATGCAATCCTCTATAAGACTATTGTACAGCCAACCAGGCAGGAGGAATAGCCCATCTGGGTTAGGTGCCACTGTGTCATTATGAAAAGGCTTACTCAGCTATATCAGAGAAAATGAATGGATTATATTTGCCTAGAAGAAATTAGGCAAATCTATAATTAAAACAGATTTTTATAGTGATCACTCCGCAACCGGACTTGGCAGACCCTAATCGTCAAGATGTTCACACATTTGAAGGAGACGGGTTATTCATTTTAGTTCAAACTTTCCGAAAGGTGCTGTAGCCTTCCAATACTTTTATTGTGCTCAAATGTTCTTCTCTTAACACAGGAAAGACAACACGTTGACAACAATGATTACACGAAGGATTAACTACTATATATAGTAAAACCCCGAGCTTGCAAAATAAAAACATCAGCTGAGATTTGGTCTACTATATGTGGATGTATACTTTAAGGAAAACAGACCTCAGCAAGTGTAGCAATAAATAAATAAAATGACACCAGTGAGATGCCGATTAAAGGAAAGGAACTCTGACTCCAAGCCTGCTGCACACATTTTATTAATCTGAGCAGTAGGATGGAGCAGTTGCTGGACAACTAAACTGAAGATTCCCAGACATGTTTGCTGGGCTGAAACATTAGGTCAAATACAGTAACAAACAATAGCTATTTTCACAGCAGTCAAGTCTGCTATAATGATCTTCCTGACATACAGAAAAAAACAGGGAAGAAACTAGTTAGAAGCAGACATGGCGTCTTTACAGCTCAGTGTTTCCCATAAATAGTCCCATCATTGTGTCTCCTAAGTTTCAGGTCCAAGTGAAATGTGAATCTAAATTACTGAAACATTCCTTTAATCGATTATTTGATGTTAACCTTTCTTCACTTGCGTCTTACTTTTAGATATAATATATTTTATGTGCATGACTTCCCAGAAATGTAATGAATTTGTCTCTGCTTCTGCTTGGTTAAAATTGCTGCTCTTCTATTTTTCTGATCAGGGCCTGATTATCACTTAATTTTTGTACAAAAGCAAACAGGAACAGCAGTGCATTATACAGTCCAAGGAATGTGTGTATCCACCACTTTGGCTCATTACCACCTGGTTATCAACCACCAATATAATGCTAATGAGAGAAGTTCTGAAACCCAGCATCTGGTACAGGGTTCATGCTAATTTCTATTCCTGTTCTACACCTCAAGAGCTGAAACTATCAAACTGAATGGGTTCAATTAAACATCCGGGATACTGAATTAGGAAAGAGTTCATCTGGAATGAAAACCAGGGGTCAGGGTACGTCAGGACCAGAACTACAAAATGCTGGTGTAAAAGATACCTGGAACTGAACTCAAACTGCAAACTGTAAGAAATTATAAGATCACTTTATTGGTCATATATAATTTATTGTATTAGGAATTTGTCTTTTCACATACCCCAACTAGCTCTCCATAAGACACACAGACAGGGAGAGAAGCTGGGGGTCAGAGCGCAGGGTCAGCCATTGTACGGCGCCCCTGGAGCAGTTGGGGTTAAGGGCCTTGCTCAGGGGCCCAACGGAGTAGGATTCCTCTGCCGGCCGCGGGACACGAAATGGCAAGCTTCCAGCCACAGGCGCAGATCCTTAAGCACAGAGCCACCCCAGCACCCCTACTTGAGAGGGGTCTGACATTATTCTCATTTGGCAGTGCTTAAGGGGGCAGCACAGGCCCCTCCCAAATCCGAGAGGGGCTCCAATTCGTTTTAAATTCCCTTGGGATGAATCGATCCGAAGATCTAAAAACAAGGGGGTCCATCTGTGAATCTAATCTGAAATGTGAGACTGGGAAACCATTTAGGCAGATGGCTCCACAAGCAAGCGATACAGAAACTCAGGGAGCAGAGCCTGGTGTGATTGCAAACTGGCTGTCAAGATTCCCAGAGCAGTTCTGCAATACCTGGAGGTGAATCGGAGGCCGTCAAGACCCGTGAGTCACCAATTGACCCCTGTCTTTTAAAAAAAACAGTCGAGATCTTTCCGTGTGTTCAGGCATACATTTCCAGGCGCGAACACGTGTGTATATCTGCGCCTTTCAATTTCTTACACACAGCAGATTACAGTAAGAAATCGTGTATTTCAAATTACAGGGACTTCACTCTGTCCAAACACAAAACAGCGACTTCCAATGTTGTTTCGTTAAAAGGTATTTTCCCTTATCTTCACGTTCCTCTAAGTGCTAACAAGGGGGACATTCTGGTGACTAACAACACGCACTAATCAACTCCGTGTCCTCTTTCACTTTACAAAAAAAAGAGTTAAAAAGTTATTTTATAATTCATATTAACCACATCCTCTGAGATATTTCTTACTGGCATCAGTCTCCCATCAGTTCGGCGCGACAGCCCTGGGACTGTCCCTACACCAGTGAAAGAGCAGCTTTATTACAGCATCGAAGAAATCTCCGGCACGGAGATCTTCTCACTGTCGTTTCAAATGAAACAAGGCCTTTTAGTTTCTTTATACCTGGAGAGCCGGGATTTAAGACACAAAATAACGGCACGGCCTGTCTGAGCAAAAGCTGAGCTGCAACCAGACTCGTCAACGAAATACATGAAGATTAAGCGGTATTTTTAATATATGTCACGCACACTGTTTGTTCAGTTTGTCAGGGAAACGCAGGTACTAGTTAAGGTTTATTTTAAAAGACCTGGAATCTGCGCTGCTATCTAGCTGATGGATAATAACGTAATGCTGTCCATTGTGTATCTTCTCCACGCTTTGTGCCACTAAAACGGACCAGTGATCTACATCATGCAAACACTATCTTCACATGTATTTCAATCATAACGGATCTGAAACTACAGATGAAATCAAAGAGGACCGAAGTGAAAAGATACAAAATCGGGAATACGAATATGAACGGGACCCTTCGCGTGTCCTTTGATGACAGACACGAACTCGGCAGACATATAAAATCAAAATGAGCGTGGTCTTAATTTCGGATTGGTGCGAACTTTTCTGTCGAGCACGACAATCCATCAACGAACTGGGGATTCGGAGAAGAGAGACGAAAGTAGGTAACTTAAATTTTAACATAAAACCCCAAACACAAGGAAAGCCAAGCTGAACTCTTTGCTCCAGTCATACATTAAATATCTAACTACTGTGCCATCTGTATATCCACAGTATTAATACAGATATAATAAATTACCCGTACTCACCTCATCGGCACTGAGTTCTTCCATCGCCTTTCTTTTAATTTTTAATTTCACTATCTGCCTCTCTTGCAATTTAAAATGATCAAAAGTGCATAGTCTTTAGACCGGCCGTAATGGGAAAAACAGCTCCAACGTCTTTCTCGTGGTGGGATATATCTGTGTATATATATATTAAAAAAAATAAATGAGTATAATTCGTTGGTTTTTTTAAAAAAAATGCTTTTCAGGTCGATTTCTGTAAAGAATGAAACAAACACAAAGTATTATTCATCAAAACAACAACGCGGCCATTTTGGATCTGAAGTCACGTGACCGGGGTCTGGGACCTTGAGAGCTGGCAGGGTGGGGGGAGCCAATCAGAGGCCGACATCAGCGCGAGGTGCCACAGCAACAGAACGGGGAGAAAATTCGTCGTAGTGCCACCCTTTGGTTAAAGGCGGGACTTCAGCAGCCCTCTGTTTGCAGCGTTTGTGCGCGGCATGCAACGTACACTAGGTGCAGGCATTAGGCTTCAGCAGGGGTTTCTAGCTTGGAGGAACACCGACTGCTTGTATTCTGGAACCGTGCACAGCAGCGCCTACTTAAAATATGTGTAGGATCAGTACTTCTCGAAGCCCACCTGTGCAACTGGTGAACTCCCTGTACCTATCCACCCTTCACACCCTTTGTTTAATTCCAAAATGACTCCCCTCAGAACGCAGTTACAGGTTTCCCAGTTTAAAAGCAAACTGATTGAAGTTCTCATTTATACCCATGCCCATGACCTTGCTCAGCTGTTGTTTCTCTTGTTCGTCTATGTGCATTGTTTGTGTGCGTGTTTTCTTTATGTCTGCTGCTGTAAAACACGTTGCCCCTTGGGGACAGTGAAGACTGTCTCTCTCATTACACCCTGTTAGCACACTTGAGTCTGCCCTTTCCTCATGAGACCCTGCTTCTTGTTCTGTTTCTCCAAGGCCATGATCTTCAAGGTAACACTTTCAAATCCCATCCAAAAACCCACTTTTATGCTCTGGTATTTAATTCAGTTTAATTCATTTACCTGTCTGCAGTTTCTGCCTTTCTCTTGTTTAATTGGGAATCACCTTGAGATTGCCATGTGTCCTGAAAGATGCTATATAAAGTAAAGGAATGGGACGGTTTTGTACTCAACTGGGCCCATGTCTGGTGATTAGGCCCTGGCAGAATTGTGACATCATATTGCATTTGTCTGTCTTTTCTTTGCAAGCCTGCAGATTTAATAATTAAACTCTTTCCCCCCCAAAATTAAATTTGTATACAGACTGTGAACATGAAAAGCTACATGCTGTGCGTCATTAGGAAATATTGACAACATCCAATTAACATATACAGCATGTATGAAGCTCATAATCACGGTATATATGAATATTACCTAAGTAGTTCTGACCTTTTCGCAATGTTAGAAGGCTGGACTGTCGGAAGAGACTTCTAATTCTGCTTTAAAGTGTATTAAAGCCAAATATATATGAACATGAAACTTCCTAATTGTGTGTGGGGTGGTTTCTCACCAGACACACCTGCTGTGCAGAAGTATTGTTTTTGGTCACCAGCACCATGGCCCTTCTTATTGATCCACCTGTCTCTATGGCGACAAGAGCTGCAAACCAGCAGACCACTGTGATGGAATTACTGCTCCCGAAGCGAAGCCGAGGCCCAGGAACAGTGAGTGGAAAGGAAAACGCTTGTATTCAGGTTTGCATCGTTTGAACCTCACCGTAGACTGCCACTTGAAACAACATTTGCAGTGGCGGGGGTGGATAACAAACACACAAAAATCGAAAACAAAAGTCACAAAGCAACAGCTCCATTTTCTCAAACGGTGGGTTTGCACCCATCCATCCGTTTTACAACTGCTTTATAGAGCCTGTCCCGGGACGAACCTCAGGACGGGACGCCAGTCCATCCCAGGGCACCTAGGACTCGCACACACTCACTCCAGGGCCAATGAACCCACCAGCACGTCTTTGGACAGTGGGAGGAAACCCATGTGAATTCTAGGAGGACATACAAACTCCACACAGACAGCACCCCAGGAAATAAACCCAGGGCCCCAGCACGGCAAGGCAGCAAAGCTCACTGCTGTGCTGCCCCTCCATACACTACATATGTATGAAAATATTTATTAATGGATATAAGTCAGTTGAGGTTTTGACCCCGAGTTCAGACCTGCAGCTGTGTGGATAAAGGCAATGCAACTAAAGGCAACACCTATCTGTGGGTGGTGGCAAAGATAAGACACAGTGTACGAGTGAATTGAACCTCCGGAAATAAACAGGTGCAATCTGCAGAGAAAACCGGGTTTTGATCTTTGTGCCGAATGCTTAGTTCCTGAACAGATATCCCCTGTCCGTACCCAGAGCTCCAGGCCCCGGGAGCGCACTGTGTCACACAGGTGTCGATGGTGTCGATGCTTCCAGCACTGAGCTCTTCAGCCCAGCCTCCCTCTCCCAGAGTGTCACTCCGTCTGCCTGACGAGGTTGGGTCTCCATGACTGGACTGGCAGGGGTTAGGGGCAGCAGCTCCAGGAAACAGCTTGACGCCCTCTTTCAGCACAGGTGTCAGTCGGAGGAAGATAATCCGAATAGTTTTTTCATGGCATATTGCGCTGTGGTATGTCGCGGCAGGTCATGGTATATCAAGATGTGTCACGGCGTGTTGCGATACATCACATCATCACTGTGGGTCATGATATCACAAAATGTAGAAGTATGTCACAACATATCACAATGTTGCTATGTATCCCAATGTGCAGCAGTGTCTTCTGTTCACTTACACCAATCTCTCAGATCAGCTCAGTGTCATATAACATCAGCTGAAGTGTGTCCTTAACCTTTTACAAGTCCACGATATTACTGGGCACAAACGACTTAAGTTGTAGTGGATCTAGCACAGATAAATTCATAATCACAATAGTATTAGGCCAAAGAAGAAGACAATGTATAAAAACTACAGCCTTGAAAAGGGCCCTGCTTTGAAACAGATACAAAAATGAGCACTGTTAGCGTGGAGTAGTAAGATCACAAATGGGCAAGTAGAATTGGGCACATCTGTAACAGGACGTCCTGCCCTGGTCATCCAGAACACTCATATTTCTATCACAGGCATTGAGGTTCTGCAGGGAAACCTGGGCAACGCCATTATTTTAGGGGTTCTCATTTTCACTTGGCAAGGATCCACAAATGCTTACATGTCCAACGAGAGTTTTTAAACATTAAAATTGGTTATTAAACTAAGCTAAAAGTATTACCTTTTTTGGTTTTTTTTGCTCCAAGTTTTTTCAACACTGATGTATGAATAGTACCTTTTGGGCTCCTAAAAATATCCCCTACTATTCCTCCGAGACAGCGTGTCTGCAGTCAGGCAGAGGGGAGGGTGCCAGGGGCAGCCAAAGCAAATGCAGCATTTTCCAAAGGTCTGCACAGGAGCCGCTTCGAGGAGAGAGAAAAATTACCAGAGCAGTAAAGTCACACACTGCAGGGGCAATAAGCAGTAACTCAACAGGAGTGAAGGAGCCTCAGTCTTATGAAGGAAAAGGCTGTAGTGATATCATTTTGCAAGACCTACTGCAAAGTTAAGAGTGAATAAGAATTATGAAATGGGTTTCTGGCTGGTTCAGAGGATTTGTTTTAATCTTGACTGCCCCTTTGACACATGCCAGTGCTCCAACTCTCTAAAACAGCAGCATCGCTGCCTTTCACAAGGCAATCACAGCCAGCCCAAGAGCCAAACCATAAGGTGAAACTAACGCGAGTGTCCTGTTGGAAGTTAAGATAACAGCTTTCTGCTGGTCAGCTTTCTGGGGGGCAACAAAAAATCCCCCCCAAGACAAAGGCTCCATCTCCTCCGCCCTTTTAATCAAAACTCCAGCACCTGGCTTGTTTGAACTGTACTGTATACCAGACTGTGCAGTCTTGAAACACACTGCTGCACAGACAGCGACCAGAGGTGTCATTCTAGGGGCCTGATACATCATGCTATCAATCCATTCCCAAGCCCTTAAACATGCAGTCTGCAGCTCCAGTCCTGCAGAGCCACGGTGTCCTCTGACTTCTGTTTCATCTCAGCTCATAATGACTTAACGGGATCAATCAGTTGCTTAATTACAAGAAGCTTGTGGTTTCCAGATCTCCACTCATTGAGCATTTAGGGCCACATCTAAAACCTGCGGGACTGCGGGGTGACCAGCCTGGGGCTCCCAGTCCTGATCCTGGAGCAGCACTGTGGCTGCTGTTTCCACGTTCTACATCTCCAGTGGTCATGTGTGACTTCATCCGTCTGCTTGTTTGTTTCCACCAGCATCAGCACACAGCCATCAACTGTCTTATAGCTGTTTAAGACAAACAGATCACAGCTGGGACTAAACAGCTCTTACAAGCTGATCAATTCATGAACAGACACAGCTGGGAGTGACACTATACTATCAGACTTCCCCACTAGGAGCCTTTTTCCTTCTGCGGAGGTCCAGGTTTTTGGAAGCTGGAATGGGATTGCAACCAAGTACAAATCTTTTTGCTCCTTTTAAGAGCAGAAAACAAATTACAAATAATTTTTTTTTTTTAATCAATCCGCTTTCGATTTACAACTCGGCTGGAGCAAAAACTAAAACTCAGTGTTCCTCCCTGACCAGGGATGGGACCTCTGCCACATGTCCCACATGTACAATCATCAATGTAGAAAATAAAGCAGAACACTTACACATGCAGAAAACATAAATAAATTAAAGGTATATACACATTTTCTTTAATCACATGAAACCATCTTCTTCCTTGTGACTTATCTACAGAAAAAGAGAGACATTTTAGCAGACGCTAAAGATCAATAAACAACGTTTCCCGTGTTTTTTGGCTGTTCTCACAAGTCCTTTCCAACGTGGGGGCTAACTTCTGTCTTTGACCTGCTGCAGAATTAAACATCTTTCCCTCTGCCCTCCCCCCCATCAGATTTAAAATTCCCCCAGAAATGCAGATGTGCTGTTGGCATGTGAAGCGTGAAAGCTGTAGTAAGATTAAAAAAAGAGTAAGTACCTTAAACACAAGAGCAGCGATCACATCTGAGATGCAGAACAGTGCCCTCTAGTAGTGGTCAGTGCATGTCCAACACCAGGGTGTTTCTTTTCAAAAGGCTTGATTCCATCCATCAATGGCGGCTGGTTTTCACCTCATAATTAGTGAAGTTCTTATCCCCCCCCCCTTTTATTGGACATGATATTCTGTTACAAAGCACTGCTCGTTTTTGCAAACAGTTAAGTTTTTACTCATGAAACTTTTTGTTTTAAGCACTCATGTTTTGATTAAAATATTCAGTTTGTGAACGGCAGCAATGGGGGCCTGGGTTCAGTTCCAGACATGGGGTGCTGTCTGTGTGGAGTCTGTATGTTCTCCCCCTGTTCACATAGGTTTCTTCCCACAGCCCTTCTGGAAAGGGGTTCTATACGTTATGTATTTGTGTAACACGCTTATTTTCAAATTGATCTGGACGCCAGGGCCACCAGCACTTGCAAACTATTTTAAATGATAAATAAAGTGATTTTCAAAAATAAAATCTTAATAAATTTAAATAACGTTGAGGGCACCAGGGACACGAAATGCCAAGATTCAGTTTGAAGGGAGAAAAGCTTCTTTTCAGATAAAAGACAGCTGCTCAAGAACATCAGTTGGCCAACACTTTACTGGCAGCTCTTGTCAGAAACAGAACGCTGCTGTAACTTGGTGCATTGACAAAAAGACTAAAATTCAAATAAAATTGGAAATAAAAGCAAAACATTTAAACGAAATAATGTGAGAATTTAACATACTTGAAACAAAAACACAGAAAAGACTGCAGTGGAGTCTAAGGCTTATAGTCAAGCTGTATGATGATTATGCTGAAATGCTTTCAACCTGCAAATCTATATTTCTGAATGATCATCAGGTAGCCTTTTTGTACACTTGTTTGCAAATCTGATCTTCACAGCACAGCTCCTAGGAAAGAGAGAGGGAGAAATTACTCAAACAGCACTTCTACCTGACAGCAGGAAGCTGAGACAGAAAAGCGATAAATTTGCAACTGCCAATTGTTGTCCAACTGTTTTCTGCTGCAAACAATCCAAAAGTGGCATAATAATTCATAATAACTGTTTCATATAGCACCTTTATATAGCAGCTTCTCATTGCACTATACAGTAAGAATAAAAGGAGAGGAGATAACAAAGCACAATTAAAAGCAAGCCATGCAGAGTCTTATAGGCGAGTGTGAGGATTTTGAAGTCAACACAAAAATCTGACTGGAAGCCAGTGCAAAGTCTCCAGTACAGGAGTAATGTGATCACTTGCACAAGATCTGGTCAGGATTCTGGCTGCTGAATTCCAGACATACTGCATTTTTTTCAGAGTGGAATTATATACCCCCGAGAGTATGATGTTACAGCAGTCAATTCTAGAGAAGATGAATGTGTTGAGCCGAGCCCTGGCCTTACCAAGTGGAGCTCGTCACCCTCGATCCAGTGAGTCCACCCACGGTTCTTCTTCTCTCCCTTCTGCACACACACCAGCCGGTCGTTGTCCCAGGTCACCAGAGACTGGGGAGGATAGAGGCTGAGGTTTCATCTCCATAGTAACAAGACCATCACTCTACATCTAAGCTATGATTGTGAGTCTCTGGAAGGCTGGAGTTGGCTGGCCTTGCTGAGACCAAAACAGAGGAATAAACTACACAGGACTGGTGCTGCATCACCTGAGCTTATTACATTAACTGCTGAATGTAATATATCTTAATTAATTGAGGGTACAAACCAAAGACAGCTGAATGCTTCCTTTGAGGTATGAGGGACTAGTCTGTGCTATTAGCTGCTTAATAGAATTTCTTTATATGCCTAATGGCAAAAAATGACCTAGGTTTTCAGCTACTAATGAGTTAATGAATTCAAAAATTAAATAATGCAGGACTTTGGCCATCCAGGAACAGCTGACAATCAAATGTTTAAACACTGGGTGACTCACATAGGCTACAGCTCTCCTGTACAGAAAAATCTGTGCTGGAGGAATTTAGGGGGCATTGTTGAACTACACCATTGCATTTGTTTTTAAATTTCCCTTAAATCCTGTCCAGAGCACATTTTGATGAGCTGTGTATTATTCATGCCTTGTTAACTTCCATGTCTTAATACTTAATTCAATCAATAACGACTTCATTCGATTCATGCCGCCTTCCCACCCTGCACTTCCTGTCGTCCAGGCCTTTGGTGTGCTCCTCAAACTCTTCCCCCACAGTGAACGACGAGCTGTAGTTCCTGAACGTGCTGAGGGTTTTGATGGTGAAGTGGTCCCCATTTTGCTCAATGACCTTCTGTGGTTTCAGCAAGCTGGCTATCTTCCGCGTTGCAAAATCAATTCCTGTGTTGAGACATCAGTCGCCCAGTTAAGACTCCACAGTGAAACAATGACATGATTCCGAAAGAGGTTAGTTTTCATATGCATCGTGTGAAAGGGTCAGAATTAAGTTTGAACTTTTAGAAGGTTCTCCACCTCTCCACTGTCAACAGCTATGACTCCCATCAGAGAAGGAACTACTACAATTACAGCACTGAGAAGCCACTCAGAGACACTTACAGGCTGATAAAGCTCGTCAGGTTGGCAAATTATCTGATGCAACGTTGGCTTTTCCAGTTAATCCTGGCTGACTCCCACACCACCTGGAAGAGGAAGCAGTGCCCGGCTATCTCCTGAACAGCCTGCATGATCTGATCCAGGCCAGCGCCCCGAGAGGGCTCTGCTCTGCTCCCTGCAGTTCTGGGGGTTCTGGGGTTCCCTGCTGCGTCAGAAGCTGGACCTGCTATAATCGGGTCCAACGTGGCCTGTATGTGTTCGCATGGTGGGGGCTGTGTTATAGCCGTGGGGTGTCCAGGAGCCTTGCAGCCCAGCAGGTCTGAATCGCCTATGGAGCATCGGTTCTGTTACAAGGAGCTGCTAAGTGCGACCCAAGACCTCTGAGGCACAGGAGGGAGGAAGTCAATATCCCAGTAAACAAAGAAGGAGCAGGCGGGAGACAGGCCGCGCCCATGGCTGGGATTAAGCGGGTTTTAATTGAGGTCAGCGGAGTCTGAGGCCTTGGCAACTACGTTACTACGGAGAACATGGATAAGGTGAGCCAAAAAAATACTTTTTACTAAACTAGCAAAAAGTTAACTTTTTCTAAAAAGTGCTCATGTGCACTGTCCTACATCCAGCTGTTTCTCATAGATGCTCAGAGGATCTTATGTGATTGGAGGATAACTTTATTATTATAAATATTAATAATTATCCTAAACAGCTTTAATAGAACACAAGAGCTTTGAACAAGTGATCCAGCTTCTATAGGAAACTTTAAACAGTGAGTGCACGAGGTCTCTAGCTCTGTAACTCCAGCTCACAGTGTTTTAGATTAGAAGAATTTATGGAGATTACATTTAAAGTTTTATAAATGTACATTTAAGATTTTAAAACCGTGGCCACATCCGTTTAAGAAACGGAACGCCACAATTAATTGAAGGAAATGTAGCTTGTGCAAACCTTTGGATAGACTTGAGCAGTTTCCTGCAAAGGCGAGATTTACAGTAAAGGTGGTCTCGCCTACAGTGATTCACGCGTGACGAAGTTACACCGTGTTCACGTTCAGAAAGCGCATCAATGCTCCGTAGAAAACTGCTATTTTCCTTCTTCCTCGGTTCACTCTTGTTCTCCGCGTTTCCCGAAAATAGCTGACTGACTGCCAGGAGGAGATCGTGGGCGAGAGGTTCGGCTGGGAGCTAGGCCCGGGAGCGGACAAGGACCGTGTTGCAAACCGGGAATCACGGATTGCTTGAGCCGTTGCCCTGTCCCCTGAGACACTATACACGGGTGGTGACCACTTTAAAAAAAGAATAACACCCAAAGCAATTCGTGGACTTTAAAAAAAAAGTCCTTTTAGTTTAAAAGTTTAAATTTACTTTAAAAAAAACTGTTCAGACTAAAGAAAGTTTCTTGCCTAAGTGAGAAGCACGCAAGACACGCTCCGTCCCCCTTTGCATGGATTTTAAATTGCTGCCGTCGCTCGGCAGAAGACCCAACTCACCGAGCGCCGCCATGTACTTGTCTAAGTTGATGTTGCTGGTCATGTCCCATGTGCCGCTGTAGTCCGCCGGCATGGTGGTCCGGGAGCGAGCGGGTGGACGGTGCGGAGGGGCGGCGGGCAGAGCACGAAGTGAGCCGGTCCCAACCCGCAGCTCAAGTCGTGCGGCTGCCAGCCGTGACGCGCCCGGCGTTTGGAAATCTGGGGGAAGAGGATATCGGCTCAAGGTCAGAGTGGGGAGCAAGCGTGCCCACTGACCACACACTGTGGCGACCTTTAACACAGACTGGGCTTCCCAGTAGGTAAGAGGTGGGGCAGGAACATTGTTTCACAAAGCCACGTCGCACTCGGATTCCTGTTACCCTGTAACGTTTAAATAGTAACCACCTGACCCAGAATGTAGCAGATTGTAACCATTGCATTTTATTACACTTTCCGATTTTGAATTCCATCCTGTAGCACCAGTAATTGTTTCATGTGAACTTGTTTGTACATAGAAGCAGCATTTGTGTATAGGATATCTACATGAGTTTTATTGTGAAGACCATATAAAAGCCAGGAAATAAAAACAATATTTAACATGCATGCTGAAGGAGTGGTAAAGAATTAATCAATCAATCAAATATTCCATAAACTGTGCAGACAGTGTTCTAAAGGCTCGTTAAAAACAATGAACTGAAGACCTAACAGACTCAATTTTACTATTATTAAGCTTTATAAGTCTCAATGGTATTTAAAGAGCAGCCAGTTCTGGACATTTGATCAATGTTACGGCTGTTTAATTGCATTTAATTTTCGACTAAAGGAATAGGTGGATTAAGAATGCATTCTCATTTATGTGGGACCTGTTTACAATGCAAGACAATTTACTGGAGATTTCCAAGTGAAGTATCTCTCTCAAGTGTACGACAGTTTTTTATTTTTTTGAACGGGACACAACTCAAATTCTGAAAGAATACCACAGGTCCGACGTGAGATTTTAGTTCTTAATAACCAAAGGGTTCCAGCAAAATACATTTGAGCTGTATCCATATCCATGACCTGTTTTTGCACGTTTATCAGCTCACGGTTAGTAAATTGATCTCGCTCTCACGTCTGCGTTTTACAACTAAAACATGAAAAAGCTTTGCGAATTTTAAAATGTAGACGTTAGGAGAGACCGCGATGAAGTGCTGCCCCCTGCTGTTCAGCGCATGTAGGACACCCAGGGTTTCCCTATTCAAATCGATCCGAAGTCTCGCAGAAATCTCTATTTTTTAAAAATGGTCTGTAATAATTTGGAATTTAGGTCATGCTTTTATTCCTCATTTCCATTTTATTTCATTCTCGTGCTCTGGGATGAGAAGTAGGAGAATAAAAAATTTGAAACAAGGGTGCAAAACACTAGATCTTGTGCCAAATGAAATCGCTAATTGTCAAGCCAAGGGGCAGGTTTGCGAAATGCAAAGTTTCCAGCTCTTGAAAATTTGGAGGTCACCTTTTAATAATCAGATTTCATTAGCAAAGTACACCCCCCACCCCCAGCTAGAACAATAACATTTTTAATGGAAAAAAAACTTGCAAATATTCCAATCAAGCAACTTGTTAATTGAGGTCTTAATTGGACTAATTAAGTGGACTGGAATGAAACCCAGAGCTGCACCATGTTTTAAACAGAAGCGTGAGGCAAGTGAAAATGCATTTTATTTTTTTCTGATGGGGATGGAGCATAAACATCAATTATTAAATTGTTGGATTAAATAAAACAATTGCATAAAAAATCCCAAATTTTTCATCCAGCATTTGTAGAAATCTCACTCTGCCGCACAGACAGAAGTTCACATTGTTGGGTGGAATTTAAAAACAATCAACACCTTTTCATTACTTTCACCTATACTGTAGAAAATATTTATTTCTATCTTCTTATTCCAAATCTAAAATAAAAGCTGTGCCAAAACAGAAGAGCAGAAACACATTCAGACTCAGCCACTGTCCAGTAGAGATTAATGATTTGAAAATACAAGCCTGTATGAGAAGAAGGACCTGTTATATTATAAAGAAATATGTCTACTTTGTGCTTATTTATGAGACTGTTATGTCTTTCCTGACCTGTTCACTTCGAACTGCACCATCTAAACCAGTCACGTCCATTAACCCAGCTCCCACGCTAATCCTACCACCTGCACTACACCCCAAAGATCAGAACAGGCACAGAGGAGAGGATGGCTATTCAACTCATCATCCTCGTCTGATTCTCCTTCTCTACACTCCCACAGCCTGTTATACTGGGGGGGGGTGGGGTGGGGGGAATATCCTTCCAAATATGAAATGTGATATCCCAGCCCACGGACCAGGACACTTCCCCGGATCAGCAGCCCAGTGAGTCTGCAGCGAGGCTGGTAGACAGCAGCTCTGGCACGGTAGATTCCATTAAAGTCTATATGAACTCTTTCAAGTTTCTCTTTGCGGTGACCGCACAGCCATAGTGGCGGCCCGGCTGGAGAGGGACTCCCCGCCGGGCCGCCGGCAGCGCCCTCGGGCCCGAGCGCTCTAGTCCTTCGTGTATCTCTGCAAGGGCGCCAGGACGACGCTGGCGTTCTTCTCCTCGCTCTGCGGGCTGTACAGAGCGTGGCTCTGGATGTACTCGCCCACGGGCCGGGGCACCAGGTACCTCACGCTCTGCCCCCTGCGCAGCGCCCGCCTGATCTTGGTGGCGGAGATCTCGTTGGTTATCCACTCCTTGACGATGTGGATGTGGCGCCGGTGCTCCCACAGGAGGTCGGACTGGTAGACGAAGCTCTCCGCGTCGCTGCCGGCCCGCGTGACGCAGACCACGCCGAACTCGCCCACGATCTCCGCGATGTCCTCCTGCTTCCAGAGGTTGGGAACGCCGAAGGACTCGAGCACATCCGCCCCACACAGGAGCTTCAGCTGTGGGACATCTGGAAAAAAACAAGACTTTCAGAAAGAAACCCAAGGGCCAGCGGCCCTGAAAGGACCACGTTTCCTGTTTATTTTCAAGCAAGAGACACAAATAGCAAGTTAATGTCTAATGTGTGGTTGTATTTTTAAAAATGATAGCGATGCAGTAGTTATATAACACTATTCATCAAAAACTCCCATATATAGAGATCATTCCCATTCTATTTTAGCTTTTAAAGTTTTCAAATTTTAATATTAAAAAAAATGTTTTTTTTTCCTGTTCTGTGACATTGTTGTATATGTATTTACTGCATTTTAATTTGGATTAGCATCTTTTTATTTTCAGTGCCTGTAATGTTTTTATTTGTACAGGTTTCAAGGTGCACACTGGAACTGGCAAAAGGCGCTCTATAAAACTGATTGATTCAAAAAAATGAAATTAATGCTGCAAAAAGTGACAGTGTGGTTTGCAAGCTAGGTTTAAATGTCTATATTTCAACTTATATTTCTTGTAACTATTGTTTGTTCTCAAGAAATGCAGGGGACCCTGTTGACTCCTTGAGGCTCAGACTGTGGCATTCCTGAAAGATTTTCCATGCCTTATGTCCCACAAGTGCTCCACTCCTGTAAATGCAACATGTACTGCAATTCCTTGGTTGTTTTTTGACGCTCAGGAGATTTCCCTAATTCCCTCCCCACATTACCTCTGCTGGAACAGCGTATCTGCTGCATCGACGTATCTCTCTGCGACGTGTTGCGCTTTCTCTTCTTCACAACTTTCGCTCTGTCCACCTCGTCCTTGTGCTGCCCCACTGTCAGCAGCTCTTCATGGTGATGCCTGCGAGACGGTCAAAGAGCACATCCGAGAGGAAGCCTGTGCGGGTGGGGCGCCATCTTGGCTCACACCAAGGCCTGGCCTTGAGCCAAGATGGCTGCCCAGTGTCACGTGATTGGAAGCAGGTGCTGAACTAGAGCTACCCGGGATTAATGAGTATGGAGCAATCGGAATGAGTGGCATTAGCCACACCCCTAGAAGAAATGAGGACAGTCTAGAGAGTCCATCTGCTCCCAGCTGTATAGGAGGAGGACCTCCTGGTTTCTGATGGAAGAGGGAATGGACACCCTACTCTGAACACACACTAACAGAGAGAAGAGTGCCATATTCCCACATCAGTCCCTGCAAAGGGTCTCCGATGCTAGGAATGCCAGACTGGGAGACCCAGGAGCTGGCTGAAGTCCGCACATAGAATCAACATGGGTTGTAGGAGTGTATGAAATAGACTGCTGCCTTGTCAGTAACTCCAGCATTTGTTCAGGCTATTCCCAGAGAAAACAACCCACTGCAGAGCAATCTGAGACATTTCAGATTTGACTGACTTTTCAGGCTTTCCAGCTACAAGGCATTGGATACCTGCATTACCCTATGTGGAATAAATGTGCACCCATGTGCAGTTTTAATGTAAAAAGTATGCAGTTTTCCTGTTTCACTGGCATAATTTTGCACCTGCAGCGTGCAAACTTGAATCATGGTTCAATCTGCCAAGCAATAATTTTTTTTCTTGCCTCCCCTCTTCTGCTGTTATCTCAGGTTGCTCGAGGCAGGTTGTGACAGCAAAGCGAAGTTAGGACAGGGCCTGCCAGCCAGGGAGAGGAGAAAAGCGAAGATCCTTGAATTACCGGAGAACCTTAGCCGTCTCCACCCACTCCGTCTGCTCGCTCTCCCAGGGATCAACCTCCACCCAATCAGAGCCCTCCACAGCCAGGGTGGCCATGGCAACGCGGTGCTGGGCCTCGATGAGGCCTTTCTTCTTGTAACCATCGCCGACCGGAGAAATGATGCCTTTGACAACTTTGTAATTCCCTGAAACAATCAATAACTCCATCAGTAAACACAAATTAAACACAGAAAAGCCAGACAGTTTTATCCCAAGACATTTTCCCAAGAGCTTCTTCCAATCTGGGCTCATGGAGGAGCCACAGCTTATCCCTGCAAGCAACCGGGCAAGTCAGGCCACACCCAGCCACTCACTCGCAGGGCAGACTCAGACACAAACACAAACACGCACACACTCACACCGAGATGCCAAACAACCTAGCAGAACGTTTTTGGTCAAGTGGGGAGGAAAGCTGAGCAAATCAGAGCAAACTCCTGTGATCATGGGGAGAACACGCAAACTCCACATGGACAGCACCCCAGAACTGGAACCCTGGTCCCCGTGCTGTCAGGCAGCAGTGCTAACCCCTGCACCACAGTGCTGCTCCAGACAGTTTTATATGAGTCCCATTTTGTGGCCTGTGCTTCTGGGATAGTCTCCCAGATTACTGGGACCTCAGTGATAAATAAACGGCTTAATGATAATGGAGGGATAAGAAAGATTAGGAAGATAAAGATCTAATAACAAGAACATTCCATTTAGCCTGTCAGTGCTTGTCATGTTTCCACACACTACAGCGATTCTATCTTCGCATTAAAGTGAGACAGAAAAGCTCCGAATAACTCCTCTTTTACAACATGCCCATTGATCCATTCTGTGAAGGAATGACTCGGAGAGAAACGTGACTTTGTTTTTCTAGTAATGGTGTAAAATCCATGTCCTGCTCACCAAACGGAACTTGAAAACGCATTAGGACATTTCCTCATTTCACCCCCGTTTGCTTTAGCGGTTTCCTCCCACAGGGCAAAGACACGCTGGTGGGTTACCTGGCTTCTGGGAAAACTGGCCCTGTGAGAGAGTGTGTCTGTGTGTACCCTGAGATGGACCGCTGTCCTGTCCAGGGTGTACCCTGCCTTGGGCCCACTGCTTGCTGGGATAGGCTCCAGCTCCCCTGCAACCCTAAACTGGATTAAGTGGTGAGAAAATGGATAGATGGAGGATGCATTTTGTGCATGAATCAATGCATCACATGTGATGCGACTGTGAAATACATTTTCAGACTCCCTGAACACGGCTGAAAAACAGTTTGAGCAAGGCTGGCACCTCCAGACAGTGCCGAACGTCTGTTCCTGAACACAACTGCGTCCAGTTGAGAAGCGGGCAGTCAGTACATCCAGCTCGTTGGGCTTCTAAGAGGTGGGTGGCCTGAGGGGGCCTTTTAGACATTTTTTTAAATAAGCCTTTTCACAAGCAGGAAAGCTTGTTGCAGATATCCATAACCTTTTGCATAAAAATGTGATTCTTGTTCCTATTTTGAAATGTACTTCCCCTTAGTTTCCCCTTGTGTTCTCTGGATCATGTTTCACGACTCGGTTGTCTGATTTCTGCCGGACTACTGCGAGCTGGTGTTCCTGACGCACTGGGTATATTCTGTCCCTGCAGGGTGTAAAGCGCTAAGGCACGTACCAGTCTCGTGTAAGTAATCCCTCGCCAGCTCGAACATGCGCAGGTGCATGTTAGTGATGGGATTGAAGGATCCGCAGGCCAGCAAGACCACTGGGGTTCTTCCCTCGTTCTGCTCCATGGCACTGCGGCAGAAGACAAGACAGAAAAGCCAGAACGTAAAAAAAAAAGAAGTTTTACCTGGGCTAAATAACAAGATGGACAACAGTTCAGCATGTTTCCCCTCTTTGTACTATAAGTAAAAGTTAAAACACATTCAGAAAAGAACTGCAGATGCTCAATATATAGACGCTTCACATTCAACACAAACAATTCCTGCCACGTACAGCACCACATATCTATCCTTGCGTTATGACACTGTGCACCATTTAAAATTAATCAATCCGCTCCAGGAGACTCCTTCAAAGACACGCTGGCTGGAGAGATCTAGGCTGGAGCAAAAAAGCAAAGACACAGGAACCACTGTTGCAGACTGACTGCTGCACACAGGAAACAAAATGTACAGTACAGGGCATCTAAAAAAATAACTCCTTATTAAAAGAGAGAATACTGTGTCACCGCAAGCACGTTATACAGACTCCATTATTACTCAGCTCCTCTCACAGTGACAAACCAGCGGAAACACAAATTGACCACGCTGTCGTAAGAACACAGCAACAACCAAAAACCC